TTTTTTCTTTTTGCTTATGTGGTGCTGAGGAATCGAACCCAGGGCCTCAGGCATGCAAGGCAAGTGCTCTACCACTGAGCCACCTTCCTAGCCCTCTCCTGAGTTCTTGTGCTAAGACTAACATTTCATTTTTTTTTTTGGCTGCTAATTGGAGATAAGACTTTCACTGACTTTCCTGTCTGGGCTGGTTTGGAAATGCAGTCTTCAGATTTTCAGCCTCCTGAGTAGCTAGGATTACAGGCATGAGCCATCAGTGCCTGGCCCTCCTTATTTCTTAAAATAATTTCAATATGTTTATTCATTATATGTATTTAAAAAATTGATATGTAAATGTCAATTAGGTGACTCTTGTAAGTGGTAGAGCATTATAATTATACTAGTCCTTTCTGCTTGGATTTTTAAGCATCTGCATAATTATGTAACCACTGATAGTACTTTTCAAAGAGGTTCTGGCACCGGCAAGATTAGTATTACTCAGGAAGTTTAGGCTCTCTATACACTCATCTAATCAGGATCTCTGAGGATAGAGGTGACCCTGGTACCTTGAGGTTTGAGAATAACCTGAGGTTGAGGCTCTAGTTAGTCAAACAGGAGCCAGCTTGTGTAATTGGTGGGTGGGCAGGTTTCTTGGAAGATAGGTACCACTTTTCTATAAGGTAGGGAAAGAGGATGGACTTTTAGCCATGCCCATAGCTTTTGACTATTATCTACCTTCTCTTCTTCTGTTGTTTCTGACTGATGTTCTAACTGGAAACACTTATGGAGTTGAATCTGTCTCCTTTCCACAGCAGACTTTTTAAAAATTTTTTTTGGGGGGTCTGGTCGTGGGGCCTGAACTCTGGGCCTGGGCGCTGTCCCTCAACTCTTCAGCTCAAAGCTAATGCTCTACCACTTGAGCCACAGAACCACTTCCGGCTTTTTTCTTTTTGCTTATGTGGTGCTGAGGAATCGAACCCAGGGCCTCAGGCATGTAAGGCAAGCGTTCTACCACTGAGCCACCTTCCTAGCCCCTCCACAGCAGACTTTGATAAAGTGAAATTTATTGATACCTCTGGAGTAAAGTTGGAACAGTTAGATTTGTGTACAGATTGCTTAGTTCTTGCTCAGTGTCATAATTTGCTCTTTTATTTCACAGGGAGTAAGCCCAAAGAATTTGAGACAGTCTCCTGAGGACCCAGAAAAATATTCTTGTTTTGCTTTATTTGCAAAATTTGGTAAAGAGGTAATTTTTTAAACAATTTCATATATCACGGGTGTTCAAAGAATATATAGAGAAAAATGTGGTAATGATCATCAGTGACCTAATTACTTAAAAATTGGTTTACTAAATCCAGATTTGGAGTAGGTTTGACCTTTAGCTTTCTATGTAGCACAAGCTGCCTTTATTTTTGTGATCCTCCTGCTTCAGCCTCCTGAGTAGATGTGCATCATCATGCCTAGCTTAAGACCTAGAGTAAGGTCTTTAGAAAAACTAACATTAGCAATGATTGTGAGCCAAGTGCTGGTGGCTCAAACCTGTAATCCTAGCTACTCGGGAGGCTGAGATGTGAGGATTGTTATTTGAAGCCAACTTGGGCAGAATAGTCCCTGTGAGACTCTTTATTTCCAATTAACCACTCAAAAACCACAAGTGGCACTATGGCTTAAAATGGTAAAGTGTTAGCCTTGAGCCAGAACTCAGGGACAGTGCCCAGCCCCTGAGTTCAAGCCCCACGACCAACAAAAACAAAAAAATAAATGATTGTGCTTCAAAAGTGTTTTAGTTCTCCTAAAATAATCCAGTTGAGTGAGCTCAAAATTAAGTCCATTTCTTAGTTTTTCCATGTAGAGAGATTTAATTTAAGAGATTAACCTTTACTTGTAAATATATGAAGTCATGTTTTATAAAGTATACTTTTTCATTTTTCATATTTGATAAAGAACATAACTATTTTTAACAGATTTTCATGTTGTTCAGGTACACAACATTATTATCTTCTTTCTGTTAAGGTATCAGTTAAAATGAAGCAATACAAAGATGAACTTTTGGCCTCCTGTTTGACATTTGTTCTGTCCCTGCCACCCAACATCATTGAACTTGATGTTAGAGCCTATGTTCCTGCATTGAAGGTAGTAATATTTTTTTGAGCATATCCATCTCTTTATCAGTGTTTCATTTCTTAGAGAATGTGGAAATATCAGGGTCTTGTCCTGGTAGTCAAATCAGGTGTTCACCTAGAAAGCATACCTGAGTCAGCCTCTGCTTCTGCCACTCTCTAGTTTGGGATCTTGGAATACCTGAGATGACCTCTCTAGGGCTCCTTTGTAGACTGATATGAGAATTTATTTTTGTGGATGTAGAAAGTCTGCAGTAAGTAACCACTCACTTGGGCTGGTACTATTTGTTTTCCTCATTGTGGCCTAGGCTATACTACTTCCCTTAAACAGTTTCTTGGTTCCTGCAGTAGAGGTCATATTCATTATAAATAACATTTAATTGCTGCTTTTTGTTTTCCTTAAATCTTAAATTTCCTGTGTTTCAGTTTATCTTGTTTGTATTGACATATAGATGGCTTTTAAGCTGGGCCTGAGCTATACACCACTGGCCGAAGTAGGATTGAATGCTCTTGAAGAATGGTCAGTACACATCCGAAAGCATGTAATTCAGCCTTACTACAAAGACATTCTCCCCTCTCTTGATGGATACCTGAAAACTGCTACCTTATCAGGTAAGTTTTGGGAGATTTGGGATGTGTATCATAATTAAGATGGCAATGTGATAACATAGTATAACTATATATACTTTGCTACTTCTGATATTTGGACACAGTGTGTTTCTAACCTTATATACACACAGTGTGTGTATATAACCTTATCCATATACATACTCAGATACCTATATATACATATATATTTATACATACATATTCATACATAAATACACACCTATATATACACATATATACCTATCTATACATGTATATATGCATATATGTATGTATGGATAAGGTTATATATATATTTTTCCAGTTCTGGGATTGAACTCAGGGCTTCAGACTTGCCAGAAAGTACCCTATCACAGGAGTCATAGCCCAGACTCTTTGGCTTGCTTAATATCTCATGTTTTTTTGTCTGGGGCCAACCACAGGTAGAGATCCATCTATCTCTACCCCCCCCCCCAAGTAGCTAAATTACAGGTATAAGCCACCATACCCAGTCTTGGACAGTTAATTTTTAAATTATTTTTAGATTATAATCTAAATTACATATTTGATGTTTCTGTTTTGTAATATATTGTGAATATTGCTTAAAACTGACTTTTGTTTGCTGTTGATAGATGAGACCAAGAATAAATGGGAAGTGTCAGCACTTTCTAATGCTGCCCAGAAAGGATTTAATAAAGTTGTGTTAAAGCATTTGAAAAGGACAAAGAACATTTCATCAGTAAGAAAAACTGTTTTCTTTACATTAAATAATGTAGAGACCAGCTTATGGAAAGAAAAAAATCTTTATCTGAAATGTTAGTTATTTTTGCATATGTATTTGTACACTACAGAAATAATTTTTGGTATACTTTTAGCAATGAAAATATAAAATATATAGTTTTGGCCTCTTATCTTGACACTACTTTCCTACTTGTCCCTATACTCAAATGTATTAGGTCTATAGTGAAAAAGAATATAGTTCATATCAATAAGCAAGTCAGAATACTGACATTATTCCAAAGCATATCTTTATCCAGTAAAAATTAAAATTTGTAAGTCTCTGGATTAAGTATTAGGAGACATTAATAATAGAGAAGATGGTAAAATAGTTTTTCTGCTCATTGTTGTAGTTTTTTCATTTAGTTATCACATGTATATGTTGGTATAAATTTTCAGAAAGAAGCACTGTCCTTAGAAGAAATAAGAATTAGAGTAGTACACATGCTTGGATTTCTAGGAGGACAAATAAACAAACATCTTGTGACAGGTAAACTTTTTTCTTTAAAATAACAATCTCTATAAATGTATTTATATTTTAATTTAAGTACATGCAGATTACAGTATAGTCTATGCTTATGTGTGACATTTATTTTCCAGTGAAGTTATAGAGACTATTTCACTTAATGAAATATAAACCTGCAGTTGGAATGATTTAATATACAATGAATGTTATAGCCTGAAAGAGAATCAAAATTGACACTTGAATGTGTCATCTAGACTCAATATTCTTTAATATGTGGGTATTTTAGGTTGTTCTTATGAGAATTAACTTTTTTTTTTTTTTTTTTGATGCCAGTCCTGGGCTTGAACTCAAGGCATAGGTACTGTCCCTAAAAGGGTTAGTGCTCTACCTCTTGGGCCACAGCTCCACTTTTGGCTTTTTTGGTGCTTAGTTGGAGATAAGAGTTTCCTGAACTTTCCTGTTCCAGCTTTTGTAGCCGCCTGAATAGCTAGGGTTGCAGGGGTGAGCCACAGGTGCCCAGCTTCCTTCTTCCTCTTTTAAAAAAGAGAATTAACTTTTAGTAAGAACTCACCTGCATGTGTGTGTGTGTGAATGTGAGGGAATATATCTACATACATACATACATATATATATATTTTTTGGGGGGGGGTCACTCGTGGGGCCTGAACTCAGGGGGCCTGGGTGCTGTCCCTCAGCTCTTAAGCTCAAGGCTAGTGCTTTACCATTTGAGCCACAGCACCACTTCTGGCTTTTTCTGCTTATGTGGTGCTGAGGAATCGAACCCAGGGCCTTATGCACACAAGGCAAGCACTCTATTACTGAGCCACCTTCCCAGCCCCCTGCATATATTTTTTAAATTGGATGTTAACTATACTTTCAGTTATTCAGGAATTAGAACCTATAGTTAGAAAGTGTCTTTATAGAGATTTTTAATGAAGATATTGTTCATTTACTATTTTTTCAATGCTCTAAAAATAAACTGCTTAATTTAAAAGTCTAAAAGCACTCTGATTTAGTGTTCTTAGGGAGATTCTGAATGCATGTCATTTTCGCTAACTCTTCTTTGTCAGCTGTATCCGCAGATGAAATGATGAAGAAGTGTGTGGCCTGGGACAGAGAGAAGAGACTCAGCTTTGCAATACCATTCAGAGAGATGAAGCCTGTCATTTATTTGGATGTATTCTTGCCTCGAGTCACTGAATTGGCTCTTTCAGCTAGTGATAGACAAACTAAAGTACTTTTATTTATCATTTCTCTCATTTGTAATGTATTGCTTTTAAATATATGTTTAAAACTGATAATGTATTTAGCCATTCAAATATCATTAGTTTTATATTTTCTGTAACCATTTATCAGAAGGAGTTATCACTGATAAATGAAAGTTAAATGTAGTTATTTTAGTAGATAATAACTTGGCAAAACATTATTATACCAAAAGTTCTTTATAATAGAAAATATAGTACAAAGGAAATTGAAAGCAATGTTCAATTGATCTTTTAACCTGGGAGTGCTTTGAAGTGTTTAAAATATGTTTGCTAAAATTGGTGTTTACAAATGTACTTTAATGGTGCTGATGACTCATGCCTATAATCCTAGCTACTGTGGAGGCTGAGACCTAGAGAACTGTGGTTTGAAGTCAACCTGGGCCAATAAGTCTATGAGCCTCTGTCTACAGTCAGCAAAGTACCAGATTAAATGCAAGGCTCAATATGATAGAGTTCCATCTGTAAGTGAAAAAGCTGAGAGTGCAAGTCCCTGAGTTCAAGACCCAGTACTAGAACAAAATAAAGCGCTTATTTCTGTGAAGTGGCAGCATGAAATTTTTTTTTTTTTTGTCGGTCGTGGGGCTTGAACTCTGGGCCTGGGCGCTGTCCCTCAGCTCTTCAGCTCAAGGCGAGCACTCTACCACTTGAGCTACAGCGCCACTTCCGGTTTTCTGGTGGTTTATTGGAGATAGGAGTCTCACGGTCTCTCCTGCCCGGGCTGGATTTGAACCATAATCCTCAGATCTCAGCCTCCTGAGTAGCTAGGATTACAGGCGTGAGCCACCAGCGCCCGGCTAGCATTGAAATTTATTTCTTAGGAATGTATAGTCCAGTAGCTAAAGTTTAAATGTCAATTATTAACTCTTAAAAATAAAATGAGCTGAACCTGCAATAGAAGCTTCTTCTTCTTCTTCTTCTTCTTCTGCTGCTGCTGCTGCTGCTGCTTGCTGCTTGCTGCTTGCTGCTCCTTGCTGCTTGCTGCTTGCTGCTTTCTTCAGGTCCTAGGCAATGTTACTGAGCTTCATTTGCTCAAGGCCTAGTGCTTTGCCACTTGAGCCATAGCTACACTTCTGGCTGTGTGTGTGTGTGTGTGTGTGTGTGTGTGTGTGATTTTGTGTGTGTTTGTGTGTGATTTATTAGAAATTAAAGTCTCACAAACTTTTCTTCCCAGGCTGGCTTTGAACCATGGCCCTCAGATCTCAGCCTCCTGAGTAGCTAGGAAGAAGTTTTTCTTAAATGGTTAAACCAAGTAAAACATGAAATATTTTTCTCTTGTGAAGGTAATAACTTAACCTTTGTTGAACTCATGGCCTCTTTCAGGTGGCAGCTTGTGAATTGTTACACAGCATGGTCATGTTTATGTTGGGAAAAGCCACTCAGATGCCTGAAAGTGGCCAGGATTTCCCACCCATGTACTGGCTGTACAAGCATACTTTTCCTGTGCTGCTCCGCCTTGCATGTGATGTGGATCAGGTGAGCACATGAGTTTGAATCTGAAACAGTTACAAAACCTAAAAGAGTATGGTCTTGTTTAGTGGTCAGCAGAACATGCATTTTGGAATCCTTTGAGAATCTTAAAGAAAACAAAACAAAACAGAAAAACCACTGCTCCCTGGCTGTCACCTTAAGACACTTCAAGTTTATTGGTCAGAAATATGATCATGACTTTAAAAATCTTTTCCAATGAGTTCCCACAAAGTATGGGAATCTCTGTTCTACTTGGGGTTTCTGCACCTCTAGATTTCCTGAGGTAGAAGAGCTGTTGTCTTGCTCAAAGATGGACTAGTCTTTCAAGGGAGTAAAGAAAGCATTATTAGGACTGGGAGTAATGGAAGAAGTGGAGATAATTGCAAGTGGCTCATTCTTCAGGATTTTATAGACAAATCTTCTGCTGCTGCCATGAAGCAGAAAGTCATAGAAACTTCCTCAATTCTGTTTATGACAATAAGTTGATATATAATTGTCCTGATAATAGGATGTGTGCATAAAAAGAAAATGATACACAAAAAATATACTTATGAAGATGAACACTCTGATAAGATATGTGAATAAATGCAATCCAGTGGTGTGCTAAGAAGTTCCACAAGTAAAATTGTGTGGAAATTTACTAGAGAAATAGATTTGAGGGGCAGTGGTCTTCTCTGTAGAAGCCCTAAAGACTAGTAAATCCTGGTAAAATAGGCATAATTTAATACTTTTTTGTTTTGGTGCTGGACCTGAGGCTTGAACTCAGGGCCTGGATGCTGTCCCCGAGATCTTTTGCTCAAGGCTAACACTCTACAACTTGAGCCACAGCTTCACTTCTGGCTTTTTGGTAGTTAATTAGAGATAAGAGTCATCTGGACTTTCTTGCCTGAGCTGACTACGAACTGCAGTCCTTAGCTCTCAGCCTCTTGAGTAGCTAGGATTGCAAGTATGACCCAGTGATGCCTTACTTATCGTGATAAGAAAGTTACTGCCAAGATGACTGCCATGTCTTCCTGTACATGAAACATCAATACTCCTGTGCACTTTGGCCAGAGCACTGGGACCAGAGCCTGTGGGTAGGAATTTTTACTCAGTAACTGAAGAAGATGGCAGTGAGAGAAAGATAGCTGTCTTGTACATGATAAAATTAAATCTTTTTTTTTTTTTTTTGTCGGTCGTTGGGCTTGAATTCTAGGCCTGGGCGCTGTCCCTCAGCTCTTCAGCTCAAGGCTAGTGCTCTACCACTTGAGCCACACCACTACTCACTTCCGGCTTTTTCTGCTTATGTGGTACTGAGGAATCGAACCCAAGGCCTCATGCATGCAATGCAAGCGCACTACCACTGAGCCACCTTCCCAGCCCCATAAAATTAAATCTTTATTTCTATGTTTTTCCCCAGTGATATAGATTTTGAAATTTGTATGTGTAGGGTTTTGATATGGCTTTTTTGTTATCATGGGATCCTAATGGGGAGGGGAGAAATGTTGAATAATGATAATCTGAATCTTGAATACCCTATATATAGGCTTAATATGAAATTAATATGCTGGGTATGGTGCCAAATTCTTATAATCCTAGCACGTGAGAGGCTGAGGCAGGAGTACTGCAAGTTCGAGTCCATTTTGGGAAATTCAGTATGATACTGTTTCAAAATTAACAAAACAAAGATCACATTAATAAAGGTGAATATTAGAAGTCTAACAATATCTACTTCAAATTACCCTTCTAATAGAGGATCAGTGAGCTTTAGTTTGCATATTTTTTTATTGGAGTCTTTGGGAGAGAAGGAGATATTAGAATATATTCATCATGGGTCTAAGTGTGTAGTTCAAGGGCAGAGCCCTGAATTGTCAAAAACCAAAATCAAAAAAATAATATGTTCATCACAGAGTTGAACTAGAAAAGCAAACTAATGAAAACAGTAGAAGCAGTTTTACTTCTTCTTTTTACCTCACTGCAAATGCCATTTAAATGTTTAATTTCCAATATGCATTTACATGAAGGAAAAAAGCCTCCAGTAGTATTGTTTTTCCAGGTAACAAGACAACTCTATGAGCCACTTGTTATGCAGCTGATTCACTGGTTCACTAACAATAAGAAATTTGAAAGTCAGGATACTGTTGCCTTACTAGAAGCCATATTGGTGAGTAGTACTTGACTTTTCCTACTGTCCCCATCAACTGTTACATTCAATGTAGATTTAGATCTTTAGGAAAAGTTGCTTATTAAAATATAAAAGGTAGCTGCTATCTAGACCATCTTGTCTCTTTTCTTTTGTTTGATTTGTGGAATGCCATTTGCTTAAGTGATACTTCCAATGTATGTTACTAATATTAATTCATATGTGTTCTTATTTTGTTTTCTGCTAAAATTATTGTAAATTTTACAAATCTTACCTACATTAGGATTTGAAAGAAGAAGAGTATGAGAGTGAGAGTGTGTGTATGAGAGAGTGATCATACATGTTTGTGAGAAAGGGGAGAATAGAAGAGAGTAAGGATACATATTGAAGGTGTGAGAAGAAGGTTTTTCAACTGTGTAGCTGCTTTTTTAAAAAATTGATTTAAAGTAAAAGGATTTTTTAAGCCTATTCAATAGTTAACGGTACACAGAAAAGCAATTTATCCAGGCTGGGAAGTTGGCTCAGTGGTAGAGTTCTTGCCTTGCGTGCATGAGGCCCTGGGTTCGTTTCCTCAGCACTACATAAGCAGAAAAAGCCACAAGTGGTGCTGTGGCTCAAGTGGTAGAGCCCTCGCCTTGAGCTGAAGAGTTGAGGGACAGTGCCCAGGCCCTGAGTTCAGGCCCACGACTGACAAAAAAAAAGAAAAGAAAAGAAAAGCAGTTCACCTTTAACATCAACCTCTTCCTGTGATGGTAGAGGCAGAATTGTTAGAATTTGATTCCTGGCTCATTGAAAACAGAGGTAGTGAGATCAGCTAAATGTAGTGTTTTTTGATATGTATTTGATTATAATTTAGAACTTGTGTAATAAGTTTATATTCAATTTTTATAATGTCATTTTCTGTGGTTTTACATGTTTTTCAATCCTTTTTTTCTTAGTACATATTTTCTTTCATAAATTTGAAAGCTCCAGTTACATATATAGCAAATTTTTCCAAACAAACTTCCTTTAGTTCTGTGTTCTTGCAATTGCTTCCAGTTTGTTTTTCTATATCATTTTCTACTAAGTTTGATATAAGTTAGAGGAAATAGTAAAGTTGATAAGAACATGCAGAAAGAAGAAAAGGAGGGCTGGGTAGCTGTGATTCATGCCTATAATCCTAGCTACTCAGGAGGCTAAGGCGTGAAGTATCTGGTTTGAAGCGAGCTCAGGCATAAAACTTTGAGAGAGTCCATCTCTAATCAACAAACAAGCCATATTGGAAGTGTGTGTCTCAGGTGGTAGAATGCCAGCTGTAAGTAAGCAAGCTAACTGAGCTCCAGGCCCTGAGTTCAAGTTCCAGAACTAGCAGAAGGAAGAAAGGAAGGGAAAAGAAGGGAAGGGAAGGGAAGAGAAGGAAAAGGAGGGGAGTGGAGGGAAGAAGAAAGTCAGCATTACTTCTATGATGTGTTGTTATGACTAAAGTCTGTTTTCGGTTTTGATTGTGTGGGGCATGTAGAGCCAACACACATCCCAGCTTGGCTTGTACTTTAAGTACTAATAGTGCTTCTTTTGTTCTCAGAGTCACTGTAGTCATATGCCATGTCTATGGACAGTAGAGAGTCACTGAATATTTCTCTAGTTTTAATTCCCTGCAGTTTCTACTAGTCAATACTGCCTGAAACAAATACATATTAATAAATGTTCTTTTATTCAGATGGCCTTACTCCAATGTTTCTGTTCCGAAGTTTCCATTTTATTTTATTTTTATTTTTGGTCCGGTCATGGGGCCTGAACTCTGGGCCTGTGCGCTGTCCCTCAGCTCTATCAGCTCAAGGCTAGCACTCTACCACTTGAGCCACAGCACCACATCCGGCTTTTTTTTTCTTCTGCTTATGTGGTGCTGAGGAATCGAACCCAGGGCCTCTTGCATGCAAGGCAAGTGCTCTACCACTGAGCCACCTTCCCAGCCCCGAAGTTTCCATTTTATTTCTTTACCTTTTTTCATCTTGAAGGTAGCTCAAGTGAGGGTTTCAGAAGAAATCTGGTAATACATGATAACGTAAAATGAGTTGGTAAGGAAAGAGGTAAAGAAGAAATAGTAAATGGCAGCACAGTAGTGCAGTGAGGGCCAGGCTTCGCATAGGTGTGCTAGTGAGAACTGCTGCTTCCCTAACATCAGCACACATAGTATCTGTAATTCACGAGGAACCTCTAAGGCCTAATAAATAAAACCATCTAAGGCCCAATAAATCATTTCGTACATGACAGGACAAACAGGTATGCTTCTTGTTGGCTGACTTCCTGTATTGGTAATTTTGTATGACCCATGAATGATGTTATAAATATCCAAATGACCCTTGGTAGACAAAAGTTTCCCCACCCTGCAGTGCCAGTAGATATCATAGAATGATTTGGAAAGAATAGGAGCTTATTTGGTTTGTGTTTCTGGAAATTATGAAGTTCAATATCAAGGTTCTGGTACTTGGAAAGGCCTTCTTTGCTGTATCATAACATCACCGGGAAAGAGAGGGCAAGAGTGTTCAAGCTTGGGGCTTTTCTTACAGAGCCACTAATGCTGTTGTGAGGGCTGCACCTCATTTCTCCAATCCTAGTCGTTCAGTGGCCCTCCAGATTCTACCAACATGAGTTAGAGATTTGCTTTTTTGCTTTAAGAAATATATATATTTTGACAGTACTGGGGTTTGAATTCAGAGTCTCAGGTCTGCTAAGCAGGTTCTCTACCACTTAAGGCTTTACTTTAGTTATTTTTTAGATGGTCTCTCTCTCTCTCTCTCTCTCTCTTTTTTTTTTTTGCATGTGTATGTGGCAGAATTGGGGTTTGAACTCAGCTTTGTGTTTGCTGGATAAGCACTCTGTAAATCGAGCCATGCCCTTAATGGATCTCTTGTTTGTCCAGGCAGCCTGGAACTGCTACTCTCCTATTTAGCCTTCCCATTTATGTGGGATGACAGGCAAATACTACTGTGCTCAGCTGTTGATTGAATTGAGATGTCACTAACATTTTACCTGCGCTATTCTCCAACAGTGATTCTTGATTTCCACTTCCCAAGTAACTGAGTTTACAGGCATAGGCTTTTATGCCTGGCCTAGAGATTACATTTTCAGCATACCATTTTGGGGAACAAATTTAAACTGCTACAGTATTTTCTCTATTTTATCTGGATTTTTCTGTGTAATTACTCCTTAAAAGAGAATGTTTTCCTTATGTCAAAAGAACTTGACAACCAGATTGATTTTCTCAGTGTTTCTGTTTTCTTGACGCATATCCTTTTTATAGCATATGATAGTTATACTCAGAGGCAGACCAAGGGTATTCAGTTGTCATTGTATGGACATATAAGTACAATAAGAATGTCTTTGTTTTGTTCCAGGATGGTATTGTGGACCCCATTGATAGCACTTTAAGAGATTTTTGTGGTCGGTGTATTCGAGAATTCCTCAAGTGGTCTATTAAGCAAACAACACCACAGCAACAAGAGAAGAGTCCAGTAAATACCAAATCGCTTTTCAAGCGGCTGTACAGCTTTGCACTTCATCCTAATGCTTTCAAAAGGTTGGGGGCAGCTCTTGCTTTTAATAACATCTACAGGGAATTCAGGTATGTAAGCTACATGGTAGGGAAGAATATGAAAGGAGCTGTTGAAACCTTTAGTGATTCTAAAAAGTGACTTGTTTAATTCCATGATCTGAGTCACAAAGTTCTTAACTAATTATGGACCAGGTGTTGTGTTCTGAGTTTTAAAAATTTAACTACAATTCAATTTATATTGAAAAACCCCAGAAAAAGCTAAGTATGGTAGCTCATACCTGCAGTCCAGCTACTCAGAAAGCAGGGATCAGTAGGATCAAGGTTCAAGGATAGCCCAGGCAAAAAGCTAGTGAGATTCCCATTTCAAACAATAAATTGGACATGATGGTGCTTGTCTGTCATCCCATCTATACCGACTATAGTAGTCTGAGGCTAACTTTTGCAACTTACTTGAGACCCTAGTTAAAAAAGAGATAATTGGGGGTGGGAAGGTGGCTCAGTGGTAGAGCACTTGCCTTGCATGCTCGAGGCCCTGGGTTCGATTCCTCAGCACCACATAAGAAAAAAGCCGGAAATGGTGCTGTGGCTCAAGTGGTAGAGTGCTAGCCTTGAGCTGAAGAGCTGAGGGACAGCGCCCAGACCCAGAGTTCAGGCCCCACGAACGGACCCAAAAAAAAAAAAAAAAAGAGATAATGGCCGGGCATTGGTGGGTCATGTCTGTAATCCTAGCTACTTAGGAGGCTGACAACTGAAGATTGTGTTTCAAAGCCAGCCTGGGCAGGAAAGTCTGTGAGACTCTTTTTTTTTTTTTGCCAGTCGTGGGTCTTGAACTCTGGGCCTGGGCGCTGTCCCTCAGCTCTTCAGCTCAAGGCTAGTGCTCTACCACTTGAGCCACAGCACCACTTCCGGCTTTCTGGTGGTTTATTGGAGATAGGAGTCTCACGGTCTCTCCTGCCCGGGCTGGCTTTGAACCGTGATCCTCAGATCTCAGCCTCCTGAGTAGCTAGGATTACAGGCATGAGCCACCAGCGCCCGGCTCCGGCTTTTTCTGCTTATGTGGTGCTGAGGAATCGAACCCAGGGCCTCATGCATGCAAGACCAGCACTCTACCACTGAGCCACCTTCCCAGCCCTGTGAGACTCTTATCTCCAATAAACCACCAGAAAACTGGAAATGTTGCTGTGGCTCCAGTGGTAGAGCCCTAGACTTGAGTTGAAGAGCTGAGGGACAGCACTCAGGCCCAGACTTCAAGCCTCATGACCAAAAAAAAAAAAAAAAGATAATGTAGAAAAGAACTGAGAATGTGGCTCAGAGCTCCTGACTAGCAGGCATGACCTCAGTTCAAACTGCAGTACTATTAAAAACAAAACAGAACAAAACAAAAAATTACTGAGAAATACATGTAGACATACTGTAGCAGTTTAGTGAACATAGCAGAAGACATATAAATGTACAAAGAGCACAGAGGAGGAGTATGGAATCTAGTTTGGGTAGGTTAGGCCACATCTCTTAAGGATGGCACATAAAGGATGAATGGGAGTCAGCCAGGTAATTTCAGATCAAGGGATGAGTAGAGATAGGAAAGAAGCTGCCATCTGAAGCAGTGGAGACATTTGTTACTCATCTGAGATTTGGAAGGCAGGTAGTGAGGTTGGGGACATGGTTTTGTGCCTTTCTTAGGTAGGATGTGAGTCGTCCAGTGACTGGGAGTCCCTGGTCATTGGAGCATGGAGTGTCAGATAAAATTTGTCTACTGCCAGCCACTTAAGATGCTTTATTATTATTTTTTTGTAATATATTTTTTAATTGTTGTTTTATTGTGAAAATACTTTATAGAGTGGTTACTGTTACATGAGCCAGGTAATGAGTACATTTCTTATCCAGCATTGTTGCCTCCTCCTTTGTTTTTCCCCTACCATTCCTTCCTTCCCACATCCTCAGCTATTACCTCCTCTCCCCCCTGATCCCCCTTCCCCCCCCACCTAAATTGTAAAGTTCGTTTTTCGACATAGCGTCTTGTACATCTCATTGTTGCAGTGGGTCAATCTGTATTCCTATTTAAACAATTTGTTTTTTCCCTTCCCCTCCCCAAATTATACCAACATCAAATACAGTGAAAACGGATTATACCATTGGGGAGGGGCATACAAAGCAACGAAAAAGTCACATGGTACCTTATAAATACATTAGAAACAATAGCAAGAAGAAAAAAATCACTTATGTCCCTATCTTGGGGTTCATTTCTCTTAACATCATCTTATCTGACCTTTTCTGCTTGTACCATATACTAGTTATTGCAAATAAGAGAAACCATGGGACCTATGTTTCTTTGGGCTTGGCTTACTTCACTTATTTTGCAGGGAAGAAGAGTCTTTGGTAGAACAGTTTGTGTTTGAAGCATTGGTGATATATATGGAAAGTTTGGCTCTGGCACATGCAGATGAGAAATCCTTAGGTATGTGCTATCCACACATGTTGTTCGCGTGCCAATTCTGTTTGACTCAAGGTTGAAGTGTTTTTCTACTCTGGAGTTAAAGCACAGATAATTTTCATGAAATGTTCCCTTTCTTATATCTCCCATAAATAAATCTGATAAATGTGAGTGACAATACTTTCCTCCTTCCCCACCAGAAAGCCTCAAATGTACTTTGTAAGAGGTTTTCTTTGTGTGCTCATCCTCTAAGACTGTATACCTTTGGTAGCCATGAGCTTGACCACTGGTTGATGAGAGATCCTGCCCAGGGCAGGTAGGCAGTGCAGCTAGTCTGTGATTGTCATAGCATGGATGTGAAAATGGAATAGATTCCCAGTGCCAGAGAATGGTGGCAGAAACCATTGATATGTGACCATGGTCTTTGAACTCATGATATTTAGTAAGTAGCAAAGTTATGAATGTATTTTGGCCATAATTAAGGTGGTTGAGTGCCAGACTTGAGTGAAAAAGCTGATGCCCAGGGTCCAGGCCCTGAGTCCAAGCCACAATACTGACGCAAAAAAACAAAAAAGAAAAGAAAGAAAGATAGTAAATGAAGTGTGATGAAGTCGCTACGAGAATCTTTACAATTAAATTTTGTCTAGATTCCTTTTGGAACTTCATGGAATTTCTGAGCTAGAAGACTTTGTAGAGCTCTTTGTCTTATCTCTTGGTACAGTTGGGACCTGGAGGTCAGTGTCAGTGAGAGCCAGGTCACATAGCTGTGGGTGACAACACTTCTTGTTTACTGTTTCAGATCTTGGCCTCCCTCCATCTCCTCCCTTTCTTCCTTTTCTCTTTCTTCTTCATTCTCCTTTTTTGGGGTGGGAAGGGGGGCAACTGGGCCTTGTTTGTACTTGCATACTGGTTCTCTCACTCATGAGCTTTTTTGCTCATGGCTGGCATTCTACTATTTGAACCCAAAAGCTCAGCTCAGCTTTTTTGCTAATTAACTGGAGATTGATTTGTGAAGTTTTCTGCTCAGGCTGGTTTGGAATAGCAATCCTCTAGATCTCAGTAGTTGGGGTGATAGACATGAGATATGGACAACTTTCTGTTTATTTTGACAGACTGAACTCTGCCATCCTTTACACTGATAGTATACTACTAGCTGAGATGTTAACATTCAGTTTTTTCCTTAGCTTAATTTAATGTATCTTGATTTTCCATATACATAAATTTTTTCAACAAATGAAACTTTTTTTTCAAATTAGTGCTGTGTGCCAGGCCCTGTGTTTGACCCCCTAGTGCTGCCTCCAGTCTCCCCCACAAAATACATAGAAATAAAATTATCTTCGCTTTTTTAGTTGATGGAGGTGACTGTGACTCCTTTCTTTTTCTAAATCTGAATAATTTTAGGCCGCTCTGAGTGGTTCATCATTTTAGTTCTGTTTTCCTTCTACAGTGGCCATGTTATTGAATTGTAACATAGTTTGTCTTACAGAGTAGGAAGGGATCAAGGAACTTAAACCCCTTAAAGAATAGCTCTGGGCTGGGCGCCAGTTGCTCATGCCTGTAATTTTAGCTACTCAGGAGACTAGATCTAAGGATCGCAGTTCTAAGCCATTCTGGGCAGGAAAGCCCATGAGACCCTCATCTCCAATAAACAACTCAGAAAAGGCTATAAGTGACGCTGTGGCTCAAATGGTAGGACACTAGCCTTGGCCTGGCATGAGGAGTTAGTTATATGCAGCTGCGCCATGCTGACAGTGCTGGTGGTATAGTTTCTAGCTGGGTGTGGTTTTGCTCTGTGTGTATATGTATGTGTGTATATGTCTTACTATCCTGCAGTCTTAACTCTGTGTTGTATTCTTAATAGGATTTGTCCACAACTAGGAATAAAATATGTAACAGAAAATGAGAGTGCTGAAAGGCTGGTATATACAGACACCTTAGACACATCAAAGTCATCAGGAAGCAGTGGCAACCCTACCAATACATACCACCTTTACCAGTGATGCCATTTCCTCTTCCTCCTTTACAATCTCCTAATCATCCAGGCTCCCTTGCTTGGTAACACCAGCACTCAGGTGCCTTCCCCACTCCTGTTACATCACTGTGCCTGTGAGTCTTTATGGGTCTTTATGTTCCTCTGTCCACTGGACCCTCATAACATACCTGTGAGGTAGGCAGGACAATAGTTTCCACTTTACATGTGGAATCTGAGTTTCAAAATGGTGAAAGGCTTGTCTCAGGATGTCCAGGCTTTATAATGTTTGAGTTTGGAGCTTAGGCAGGATTCCCAGCTTGCTTCCTTGAATGTGGGCTCCTCTTATTGCAACTTCCCTCCCCTTACATTTCTACAGAGCTTTCATGCTTTGTTTACTTCTTCAGGACCTTTTCCCTGACTTTCATGTCTCCACTATGGTTACTATGTTTATTAGGTTTTTACAATACTATCTGTAAACTTAACTTTACTTTTACTCTTTAGCACTTCTCTCACTCAAAATTCCTCTCTGAAGTATTTTGCTACCATTAGTAGAATATAATTCCATGTTTTCCCAGGAAATTTATTTACCTGCTTATCTCTACTAGTGCTATATTGTAATATAGTCTACAAAATGGCCTTAAACAAGTGACACATTATATATTTATGTATCCATCTCAGTGCCTTGATAGACGTTTAATATACATTTTACAGGCCTGTCAAGAAGTATCAGTATGCCAGAATGCTCCCTAAAACACAATTGTTACTAGTGTTTCAAATATGTATTAGTATGCTGCTGTAACTCAAAATGGTAATTTCACGCTCTTTTTTTTGGTAGTACTGGGATTTGAACTCAGGTTTTGTCTTGGACATGAAAAATGTAATTATTTAAATTTTGCATTTAGAGGGGTGAAGTAACATTAAGTCTATAGTCAAAGCACCTTTATAGTTATAAAATAAGTCAACAAACTGATTTTCTTTTGGCACTGAAAACAGGTACAATTCAGCAATGCTGTGACGCCATTGATCACTTAAGGCGCATCATTGAAAAGAAGCACATTTCTTTAAACAAAGCAAAAAAACGACGTTTGCCTCAGTAGGTGATTTGTTTCCTTTTCGTTTTTTCCCTTCAACATAATATTCTTAGCTGATAGAAGACAACTTGGTTCCACGTGTGGGTATATGAAAAATTGGTTTATCTAAAGAGTTTTGCAAGTTCTGTGGTGAAAATACTTGGTTTTATTTATTTAATACTGATAATTTTGTGTGTGTGTGTGTGTGTGTGTGTGTGTGTGCAACTGATGCTTGAACTCAGAGCCTTAAGCTGTGCCTCAAATCTGGCCTTTTTGCTGGTTAATTGGAATCTCTCAGATTTGACTGGGTTGGTTTTGAACCTTGATCCTCACACCTCAGCCTCCTTAGTAGCCAGACTGATTTTGAATATAAGTTTGATGTAGAATTGACTACAATAATGGTAGGAACTGAATGTTGAAATAGGATTTTGGCAGACAGAATCACAGACTTTCAAAGTAAAGGTGAGCATGTTGGGAATAGGCTAGTGGTTTCTGGCACACTTTCATTTCTGTCCCATTCTCTGACTGATGCCTTGTATCACTGTCCCCCTGTTTCATATGCTCAGTGTTACAGGGGAGCTCTGGCATCTGTGCTGGCCAGCTACCACTCTGGGTATAATGGTACACATCTGTAATCCCAGGCACTTAAGATACTGAGGCAGGAGGATTGCCAGTCTAAGGCCAGTGTGAGAAACAATTTAATTTCAAAAAAAATTTTTTTTGGGGGTCCGGTCATGGGGCCTGAACTCTGGGCCTGGGCGCTGTCCCTCAGCTCTTCAGCTTAAGGCTAGCGCTCTACCACTTGAGCCACAGCGCCACCTTCAGCTTTTTTTCTGTTTGCTTATGTTGTGCTGAGAAATTGAACCCAGGGCCTCATGCATGCAAGGTAAGCGCTCTACCACTGAGCCACCTTCCCAGCCCCAACAATTTAATTTCAAACAAAAAAGTTTGTTCGGGTTTTTCTATTGACTTATGACATTTCTTTAGATAGTTTTTTCCTCAAACGTTAGCACATATGGCAGGAGTGTAAGGTGTCTATAAAATTAGCAGGAGGTCTTGTTAAAACACAGATTTTGGGCTGATACCATCAGCACTGCTGTGTCAGATGTAGTGTATGGCCCAGAGAATTTTTTTCCATTTGTAAGTAGTTTATTGATGATGCTGGTACAGCTGGTCTAGCGTCCACACTTTGAGAATTGCTGCTTTAGGGCCTCTACAGCCTCATTTATTTAAGGTACTTTGAAAAGAAATACTTGGTGCTATTCTGTTGAGACATATTTGTAATTTTTTTTTTTTGGGTCCGGTTGTGGGGCCTGAACTCTGGGCCTGGGCGCTGTCCCTCAGCTCTTCAGCTCAAGGCTAGCACTCTACCACTTGAGCCACAGCGCCACTTCCGGCTTTTTTCTTTTTGCTTATGTGGTGCTGAGGAATCGAACCCAGGGCCTCATGCATGCAAGGCAAGCGCTCTACCACTGAGCCACCTTCCCAGCCCCCGTATTTGTAAATTTTTGTATGGATAAAATAATAAGGCTGGGTATATCTTAAGTGGCCAGAGTATTTGCCTCTCATGGCAAAGGCCCTCAGTTCAGTTTCCAGCACCACAAAAATAAAAATTAAAAAATAAAAATTAAGTTGAGCTGAAAGTGAACAGCTTTTAGACCTATTTAAGCTATGATGTTTTAATTATATCTTCATGATCATAAAATGCCTTAAAGGAAGTCTGTACGTGTATCATTGTGGCAAAGTTGAGTTCATGATTTCTAGACTCCTACTCTGACGTTGGATTCTGGAGAGTACTCATGTTCACCTGTCCTCTTCGTGCAGAGGGTTTCCACCATCAGCATCATTGTGCTTGTTGGATCTTGTTCAGTGGCTTTTAACTCACTGTGGAAGACCCCAGACAGAATATCGACACAAGTCCATAGAACTCTTTTACAAATTAGTTCCTTTACTACCAGGTATGTTAAGCCTTTAAATTCTAGAGTTTGGGTTTTGCTAGTAGTTTAGATATGGAATCTTATGATTGCCCAACTATTTAAATGAATGTTAATATGTAATAAATAAAAGGTAAGTATGTGGTTGTTTCACATTTGCATGACAGACTATACATTTTGAGTACATTTCTTTGAGATATGTAGAAGAGAAAAATTGCTATTTCAGTGATACTTATATGATACAGAAGATGAAAATTTGGTATTTCCTAGTCATTTTAAATTTCACTTCAGCTTTTCTTTATCTGTTCCATTTAACTGAAGTAAATAGTAGTTCTATGACCATTCGGTTAACATACTTAAAGAATGTTCCAAATATTGGGCACTGGGAATATGACTTGGTGATATGTGCATGCCCAAGGACCTGGGATCAATTCCTAGTACTACACATACAAGTGTATACACAAACGTGTTCAAAGTATTAAGTTAATGAAATGATGTAGTTCTGTTTTAATATGAACTGAAGTTGAATTGTAGGAGGTGTTGCATGTTTTTTCTTATTTTAAAGGAATGGAGGACCAGCTATTTGTAGATAAAATTATTTTTTGGCACAATCTACCTCACATGTAGTCTCTGATTCCTTTAGAGCCCACAATTTCTAGTAGTATCAGCATCACTGATCCCAGACATTTCTTTTTTTTTTGGCCAGCCTTGGGGCTTGAACTCAGGGCCTGGACACTGTCCCTGAGTTTCTTTTGTTCAAGGCTAGCACTCTACCACTTGAGCCACAGTGCCACTTCTGGCCTTTTCTGTTTATGTGGTACTGAGGAATGAAATCCAGGGCTTAATGCATGTTAGGCAAGCACTCTACCACTAAGCCACATTCCCAGCCCGATCCAACAGAAGTTGGTCTTCTCAGTTTCCTAAAATAGTGGCCTTTGAGTTAAATAAATTGAGTTTACTTGTCTCAGCATTGTTTTCAGTAAGCTGAGGATATCAGGTGGTACATAAGCCTTTCTGATCTCCCAGCATACAAGTCACATAAAATCCACAGGCTTGCCTGACACCAGTGGCTTACACTTGTGGCCCCTTAGGATGCTGAGATCTGAGGATTGTGGCTCAAACCCAGCCCAGTCAGGAAAGTTTGTGAGACTTTTTTTCTTTTTGGGTTCGGTCGTGGGGTCTGAACTCTGGGCCTGGGCCCTGTCCCTCAGCTCTTCAGCTCAAGGCTAGCGCTCTACCACTTGAGCCACAGTGCCATTTCTGGCTTTTTTCTGCTTATGTGGTGCTGAGGAATCGAACCCAGGCCCTCATGCATGCAAGGTAAGCGCTCTACCACTGAGCCACCTTCCCAGCCCATGTTCTGGTTATTTTTGAGATATAGTCTCAAATGTGCCCAGCATTTTACTGGTTGAGATGAGGTCTCATGAAATTTTTGCCTGGAATGGCCTTAAACCATTAGCTTCCCAAACTCTGCCTCTCAAGTACTTTGGATTATAGGCATGGGTCACTGGTGACTAGCTTTTGTAGTATTGTGGTTTTCCTTTCTTTCTTTCTTTCTTTTTTAACCTGCAGTTTTTTTTTACTTTAAACAGTGTTGGGCATCTTTTTAGGTCACTTGTATCTTTTTAGGTTTCTGTCTCTCATAAGTGAAAGGGATAGGAATATATATGAGAAAAGAAATGCAGAGCCAGCTGCCAGTGGCTCATGTCTAGCTACTCAGGAGATCTAAGATACCCTCTCTTCCTCCCTCCCTTCGTCCCTCCCTTCTTCCTTTCTTTTTCTTTTTCTTTTTCTTTTTTTCCTGAGGCTTGAACTCAGTACATGTTCTGAGCTCCTGTAGGCCTTTTCACTCAAGGCTATCACTTTACCACTTGAGTGGAACCTTTGCTTTCCCAAGAGACTTGTAATCTAGAACCAGCTAGCCAAAAGCCCAAAGTAGGAAGTGGAGCTGGGACTCAAGTGGTGTAGGACTAGGCTTGAGAAAAACTGCTTAGGGACAGTACCCAGGCTCTGAGTTCAAATCCTAAGACACACACACACACACACACACACCACACACACACACACACACACACACACACACACACACACACACACACACACACACACACACACACACACGTGGATAAAGAGATTAAGTAGGATAGACTTGCCATAGGTTTCAGCATTTTAATTCATCTTCAGTCATCTTCTGCTGGTTTCAGGGGTGTATAGACATTTAACTGTTGATCAAATAAGGAGAATAAGGGGTAAAGAATGAGAAGGTAGCATAGTTAAAAAAGTTCATTGAACTATTTTATTTAACAAACATATATTCACATCTGGGTGTAGTAGCATATGTTTATATTTCTAGCCAACTGGATGGTTGAGGGACAAGAAAATCATTTGAGTCCAGGAGATTGAAGCAAGGAACATAGCAGTATCCTTCCAACAAACAAACAAACAAACATTCAGATATTAGCTGCGGTAATTCATTTAACCTTGGTAACAACTGAAGAGGTAAATGTCATTTTCACTTGGGGCACAGAGAGCTGCATAGCCAGCATCAAAACCAGAGAACCATGGTGTTCTTTTATAACTTAAGAAGAAAAAGGTGGTGGGGTATTAGTAAATAGCTATCCCAGACAGAATTCTTGCAATGTTTAAAGAAATTAAGGAGAGTGATTTTGGTGGAGATAACTTCTAGGCTGTAACAATAGTAAAACAAGTTATGAATACTGGAGTAAAAAGATGATCTCATATCATTTAAAAATTTAATTTTAATACAACAGATTACAGAGATGTTTCTTAGGAAAGTTTTAATATTGTTTCTCTTTTAAGGCAACAAATCCCCTTCTTCATGGTTAAAGGATATTATCAAAAAAGAAGGTACTTCTTTTCTCATAAGCACATTTGAGGGAGGAGGTGGCAGAAGTGACCAGATGTCCGGTATTCTTGCTCAGCCAACCCTCTTCCACTTGAGGGGCCCATTTAGCCTGCGAACAGTCCTGCAGTGGCTGGATCTGCTTCTGGCTGCACTGGAGTGCTACAACACATTTATTGAGGAGAAGACTGTGGAAGCTCATGAGGTTCTAGGAGGTAAAGTTTACCTTATTTATTTGTTCACTTGTCTATGTATTAATTTAGAGGTAAGGTTTCAGTATGTCACTTAGGCTGACCTTGAACTTGTGATCTTTCTGCCTCAACCTCTTAAGAGCTAGGATTAGAGAGCTCCCTGGCCAAAACTTACCTGTAAATTAACATTACTCAGTTCTGCTGGGATTTGGTCCAGGTAGACAGCTCACTGCTGTGTCAGTATGGGCTACAGATATGGTTACTTACTGTTAAGCAAAAAGTTTACTTGCATTTTCATTTATGTTGATCAGCCTTCCATTACTGTGACACAGTATCTGTAATCAGCTTAATAAAAAGAAGTATTTATTTTGGCTTACAGTTTTGGAGATTTTAGTCCAACATTGACCTTGTTTCTCTTAGATCTGTGATGAGGCAGAATATTGTGGGAGGAGCGTATATATGCTGTAGGGTACTACTGACCTTATGGCAAACTATAAGCAAAGAGGCTGAGAGAGTGAGGGGATTCCAGGACCTCAGTTTCCCCTTCAAGAGCATGCCCCTCCTCCAAGTACTTAACTTCCTTTCATTAGGTCCTACCTCCTAAGGATTCCACATCCTCCCAATAGTACCACAAGCTCGCAACCAAGCCATTGGGTTGTAGGCTGTAGAAGGATACTCATCCAAAGTACAGCATCATTTAATGTTACAGTGAAAACAGGGCCTACACAACCTGGCCAAAGAATCCAGTGGTACTGAATTAAGAATTCTGGTACTGGGTGCCGGTGGCTCATGCCTGTAATCCTAGCTATTCAGGAGGCTGAGATCTGAGGGTCTCGATTCAAAGCCAGCCCAGGCAGGAAAGTCTGTGAGACTCTAATCTCCAATAAACTACCAGAAAACTGGAAATGGCACTGTGGTTCAAGTTGGTAGAGCGCTGGCTGGCCTTGAGCTGAAGAGCTAAGGGATAGTGCTCAGGCCCAGAGTTCAAGCAAGCCCCATGATGGGGGAAAAAAAAAGAACTCTGGTAGTTTTATAATCAGTAACATCAGCTTTTTTTTTTTTATAAAGATTTTTTTTTATATTGTAAAGATACTATACAGAGGGTTACAGTTACATGAGAGAGGTAATGAGTACACTTCCTCTTGAACATTGTTACCCCCTCCATTGTTTTCCCCTACCATCCCCTCCCTCCCTACCTTCCCCGAGGTTCTTTTTTTTTGATTGTGATTAAGTGATTACATAATTTCCGGAATTTCACAGTATTGTGGAATAATGATGCTCATTTAAAGTCACAAGTTCATTCTAACTTTCCTGGAGCAAATTGTCTATCACAGTCTGTAACATATAACGGTGTTCACATGTTATTAAACAGTTTTTTCACTGAAAATTGTGCAGAATCTTCACATTAGTATTCCCATTCCCTACCCTTCAACACTTTGATTTTAAAGCCTTATGTTTTTAGGCTTTGGATTTCATTTATGCCCCTAACAGTGTCTTACTAAGAAAATGGATCTGCATATTTAAAAACTTACTTTGTGTTATTACTGCATTTGTTTTAAGAAAAATTTATTTATACCTATAGAAAAATAGATATAAACTTTTGGTAAATATCGTATATAAAAAGTAAAATGATCTGGTTAGCATGCTATTTTTGTCTTTTCAGGAATATGGCATTTAATGATGGGGATGTGTTCTGAGATATTAGGCCATTTCACCTTTGTGTAAACTTCATAGATACCATATCACTAGGTGATACAATCTTGGGTACTGCTTGTTATTATTGATTCAATGTTGTTATACAGTGAATGACTGGATTCAGACATAACTCATTCACATGAACAGTTGTTAGAATTGACTAATTTTAAAATAACACATTTTTCTCACATTTAACACATCTATAAAGTTGGAATATGTCTTTCTAGTCCAACAATCTATTGAATTGAAGTATGTTTGATGTTGTGAATGTAATTTTTTCAGGCACTAATGGAGCTTGAACTTAATGACACACATGTTGGACAGACATTCTACCACTTGAGCAATTCTCCCAGACCTTAAGGATATAATTCTTTTTTTTTTCTGTCAGTGATGGGTGCTGTCTCTCAGCTCTTCAGCTGAAGGCTAGCACTCTACCACTTGAGCCACAGCCCCACTTCCTGCTGTTTTCTTTTTGCTTATGTGGTGCTGACAATTGAATCCGGTGCCCCATGCGTGCAAGGCAAGCACTCTACCACTGAGCTACCTTCCCAGCCCACGGATATAATTTTTAACATATGTCCTCTCAGTCCTTTTAATCTATTGTCATAAAAAAGTTTTTTGGAGCTGGATGCCTATAATCCTAGCTATTCAGGAGGCTGAAATCTGAGTATCTCAGTTTGAAGCCAGCCTGGAAACTCCATGAGACTCTTATCTCTAATAAATGACTCAGAAAAGCCAGAAGTGGCACTGTGGTTCAAGTTGTAGAGCTCTTGCCTCAAGTAAAAGAAGCTCAGGGACAGTGTTCAGGCCAGAAGTTGAAGCCCCAGGACCGGCAAAAATAAAGTGTTTTGGGAGATTTTTGATGGTTGGGGTTTGTACTCAAGGCCTCATGTTGACTAGTGATTGACCACTTGAGCCATAGTTCCAGTCCTTTTTGCTTTATTTACTTTTGAGATAGGGTCTCACTTCGCCCTGACTGGCCTGGACTGTCAGCTGTATTTTTATGCTTTCTGCCACAGCTGGACAGGTGTTACTAACCCATTTTTTCTTTTGAGATGAAATCTTGTGAATTATTTTGTTGAGTTGACCTGAAACTATGATCCTCCCAGTCTTAGTCTCCTGTCATAGGATGACAGGTATGTCTCACCAAGCCTAGCTAATAATAATATTACTATTACTATTGTTTTCTGGTGGTACTGGGGTTTGAACTTAGGGGCTTGTGCTTGCTAGACAGGTACTCTACTTCTGAGCCACATGTCTAGCCCTATCTCACACTGGTTATTTTTTAAACACTATCTTGCTTCCTGAATAGCTGTACTCCTCTTATTTTAGGCTTTCCATTAGAGTTGGGATAACAGAATACTCATCACATGTCCAGCTGCATCCATTCAGATGGAATCTTATGGAGTCTTCTGCATGGGCTGGCCTGACACTGTGATTCTCCCAATCTCACCTTCCCAAATAGTGAGGATGAGAGGCATGCACCATCACACCCAACTCTTTGTTAAGAGGGAGTATCATGTATATACCTGGGCTGGCCTTGAGCTGCCATCCTCCAAATCTCAAATTTCCTAAGCAGCCAGGATTGCAACCATGAACCGTGGTGCCTGGCTATTAAAACTATTTATAATGGTCTATGTATTAACAATTTGATTAAACTTGTTCAGATTTTGTAGTTTAAGGAAGTGACAGTCCACAGATTCTTAAGAGGATTTCTCACTCAGTCATTACCTTTGTTTACTCTTTGACTGTGTATGCCAATATTTTATGTGTCCCTTTGTCTGAGGTTCTAAACGTCCTTATGTCCTGCAATAACAATGTATACTGTGAGATTGGGGAGAAGTTAGAGGTGTGGTAGGTGGAGAGGGTCATGGTGGACAGCATTAGTTGGAAGGGAGAAATAGCCTCATTGTTCAGATGAGTTTGGTAAAATTATGAGGGTGGTCTGGAAATTGACTATGTAAGATGACCAGTGTCTATCCATACTTGTTTATTTTTGAATTATCCTTTTGAGGAACATTTAAATTTCTGTAATAATTATTAAAAGCAATGCTGTCAGATGTGGTAGCACATGACTATAATCCCTGCACTTGCAGGATAGAAGCCAGCCGAGGCTACACAGTGAAACTTAGTCTCAAGAAAAAAAAAGCAGCCAGGTGCTGGTGGCTCACGCCTGTAATCCTAGCTACTCAGGAGGCTGAGATCTGAGGATCGCAGTTCAAAGCCAGCCCAGGCAGGAGAGACCGTGAGACTCCTATCTCCAATAAACCACCAGAAAACTGGAAGTGGCACTGTAGCTCAAGTGGTAGAGCGTTCGCCTTGAGCTGAAGAGCTGAGGGACAGTGCCCAGGCCCAGAGTTCAAGCCTCACGACCAACAAAAGAAAAAAAAAAAAAAAAGAAAAACAAGAGGCATAAGCTAAATAAACATTCTTTACTCTTTTGCCATTAGTTATTAAAAGTTCAGTACTAGATCAAAGCTTGAGTTTTAAAACATTTAATAGAGATTAGAATGCATATTTTAAAACTATTTGGTATGAATTTCTAAATAGTCATATTTAGAAATTTAGAATTTTAAATAGTCATATTAATTTATATTGTCACAGATAGTGCTTGTGAATCAACTTTTGTGTTAGTCAGACATTGGTTGTGGTTAAAAATCTGAGCTAGTACAAAGGACAAAAGATATGTTTTGATCTGGGAATGTGGCTTAGTGGTAGAGTTCTTGCCTAGCATGCATGAAGCCCTGGGTTCAATTCCTCAGTACCACTTAAACAGAAAGAGCTGGAAGTGACCTTGTGGCTCAAGTGGTAGAGCGGTAGACTTAAGCAAAAGAAGCTCAAGAACAGTGCCCAGGCCCTGAGTTCAAGCCCCAGGACTGGCCAAAAAAAAACACAAAAAAAGTTTTGTTTAGCCTTAAGGTTTGAGAGCGTTCAGTCCACAGTGGCCCCATGCACTTGGGCAGAACTTCATGGCATTGGTGGTGAGTGGCAGAAGCTGTTTACCTCAGGGTGGACCAGAGTGGAGATGGGATTCACCTACCCTAACCTGTTTCCATAAGCTTTGTCCTACCATCTAACGTTTTCAGAACTTTCTCAGATAGCATCAGCAGCTAGGGTCCCAGTGTTTAGGCATTGGAGCCTGTGATGGATTTCATAGCTGAACCCTAATGAATCTTATGTAAACACATTGTAATTTTATAAGACTGAAGTTGAGTTCTATACGGATTATAACTCTACAATGTAAAATGAGAAGGAAGAGCAGATACTTGATTCATCTTTTTTTTGGGGGGGGGTCTGGTGTTGGGGCCTGAACTCTGGGCCTGGGCGCTGTCCCTCAGCTCTTCAGCTCAAGGCTAGCACTCTACCACTTGAGCCACAGAGCCACTTCCGGCTTTTTTCTTTTTGCTTATGTGGTGCTGAGGAATCGAACCCAGGGCCTCATGCATGCAAGGCAAGCGCTCTACCACTGAGCCACCTTCCCAGCCCCTTGATTCATCTTTTATTCAACTATGTGTCTGTGTGTGTGCATTTGTGCATGTGTGTGTGTACCAGGCATGGGGCCTGTCTGTGATCTTTTGTGGTAGTCTAGTGCTCTACCACTTGAGGCACAGCTCCACTTCTGACTTTTTGGAAGTTTACTGGACATACAGGTCTAATGGACTTTCTTTCCCGGCCTGACTTTGAACTGTGATCCTCAGATCTCAGCCTTCTAAGTAGTTATGATTATAGATGTGAACCACAAGCATCCAGCTGAACTAATTTTTTTAAATTGTTCAGTGATTGCTGAAAGTCTACCAAACCTACATGTACAGAAAGATTTTTTACATTAGTCTTAATGGAGTTAGGAAGTGGCATGTTAATTTTATAACATACTTATTTCTAGGTACTGAATCACAGTCTTCACTCCTCAAGTCAGTGGCCTTCTTTTTAGAAAGCATTGCTGCTCATGATATCACAGCCGCTGAACAGTGCTTTGGCACAGGGGCAGCAGGCAACCATCCCAGCCCACACGAGGAGGAGAAATACAAGTATAGCAAGTGTACTGTTGTCGTCCGAATTATGGAATTTACTACAACCCTGCTCAGTACTTCCCCTGAAGGATGGAAGGTAGGCTCTCTCTTGCTGCTTTATTATTGAGGTTAGTACTTGGTATGAAAAAAATGTTTTTGAAACGTATCAGGCCAGGTGTGATGGCAGGTATAGGGGTATAAACCTATCATCCCAGCTGTATGGAAGGATTAAGGTCTAAACCCCGTCACTGGCCAAAAACATGAGACTCTATCAGAAAGATAGCTAAGGTAGAGAAAGGGCTGGAGGTGTGGTTTAAGTGGTAGACAACTTGCCTAGTAAGTGTGTGGCCCTAGTACTGCCAAAAGATAGAAGTTTCTGTTTTTTAACTGTAGGGAAATGCAAATAAAAACTTCACTGAAATTCCATCTCAGTCCAGTCAGAATAGCTGTCATCAAGAATACCCAGACCAGGTGGGTGGTCATAGCTTAGACCTGTAGTGGAATCTTAGCTACTAAAGAGACTGAGAGCTGGAGAACTGTGGTTCAAAACCAGCTTGGGTAGAAAAGTCCTCAAGACTCCCATCTCCAATCTAACCAGCAAAAAAGCAGGTCTGGAGGAGTGGCTCAAGTGGTACAGCTCCAGCTGAGCAAGCAAGCCAAGTGAGTTTAAACAGTGCTGTCAAAAATGAAATGTACAACAAAGTAAAGTAAAAAAAGAATACAGAAAACAAATGCTGGTGAGGATTGTAGGGCCGGAAGGAGGATTGGGAAAGAAACCCTATACAGTATCGATGTGAATATAAATTAGTCCATCCATTGTTACAAACCTGCTGTACCATTTCTGGGTATATATCCAAAGGAATTAGCATACAGTAGAGACACCTGCATATCCATGTTTATTGCAGAACTATTCACAGTAGTAAAGTTATGGAATCAGTGTAGGTGTTCGACAGATGAATGGATAAAGAAAATATTTTGTTTATGTAATAAGGATACTGGATCTAACTGGCGCCATCTTGGCGGTGTGGTAGATAATAGGGAATTTGGTGTAGCTGGTCTAACTATCTTGTCTTCTTGGTGGATGAAGGTGAAGTCCCACCCCCAGATGATAGACGTTCCTGAATTCCTAGAGGCAGGCGTGGGGACTTGGACAATAGGTTATTGGACCTATACCATAAACTTTCAAGACTCATTGAACTCTTGAGCTCCTGTGACCCAGGCCCCTGACCGTGAATCTATTTAGGTCCCGACCTGATCAGCCACCATTTTGTACCATGCCTTGTGTTTCTTCAGGTCACCATGGTGTCCCTCTTCACCTTTCCATTGGAGTTGATCTGATTTGTTAAGATTGTTTTTCTGCTCTTTTCATTAAATGTATTTGAGGCTGCAAGATTTTTGAGGACATGTGTCTGCAGGCAGTTGCTGGCTTTCTATTAAAGATGCCTGATTAGATCTCTCAAAATGTGGCTTCTCTGTACCTCATGATAGAATTCCCATATACAAAATACTCAGCTATAAAGAAGGATGGAATTATGTCCTTTACAGGATAATGTGTGGAACTGGAGATTATTATATTATGGGTTTTTTTTTTTTTTGGGTCCAGTCATGGGGCCTGAACTCTGGGCCTGGGCACTGTCCCTCAGCTCTTCAGCTCAAGGCTAGGGCTTTACCACTTGAGCCACAGCGCCACTTCTGGCTTTTTTCTTTTTGCTTATTTGGTGCTGAGGAATCGAACCCAGGGCCTCAGGCATGCAAGGCAAGCGCTCTACCACTGAGCCACCTTCCCAGCCCGATTATTATATTATGTGAAGTAAGCCAGACATATTTACATTTTTCTCTAAAATATAGACCTAAAACCAAATTAAACAGTACATTAAAACAGAAGGGGAGAAGAGGAAAGGGATCAGGGAAGTAGAGAGAGGGAGTGGCTATCAAGGTAAAAAGAAGTTCTGGTTGGAAGTGACTTTGGTTCCTCTGGAACTTACCATTTCCAGAAGGATTTTATATTCTTATTTATTTTATTTTATTTTTTTTGGTCCGGTCATGGGGCCTGAACTCTGGGCCTGGGCGCTGTCCCTCAGCTCTTCAGCTCAAGGCTAGCGCTCTACCACTTGAGCCACAGTGCCACTTCTGGCTTTTTTCATTTTGCTTATGTGGTGCTGAGGAATCGAACTCAGGGCCTCATGCATGCAAGGCAAGCACTGTACCACTGAGCCACCTTCCCAGCCTCTTATTTATTTTAATTAACAAACAAAAATTTTGTGTATTTGTGGTATAAAATATGATTTTTTTTTTTTTTGCTGGTACGGGGACTCTAACTCAGAGCTTGGATGCTGTCCCTTAGCTTTTTGCTCAAGGCGAGTACTCTTCCACTGAGCCAGAGCACCACTCTGGCTTTTCGATGGTTGTCTTTGATGTTAAGCATCCCTTATCCAAAAATCTGAAATCTGATACCCTTATTCAGATTTTTCACATTAAGGGTAGTTATTTGGTAAGTTCTGTGCAATATTTCAAAATGTTGAAAAATTTGAAATCTGAAATATTTCTGATCCCAAGCATTTTGAGTACTTCAATTACCTGGGGTAGGGCTGGGAAGGTGGCTCAGTGGGTAGAGCGCTTGACTTGCATGCCTGAGGCCCTGGGTTCGATTCCTCAGTACCACATAAGCAGAAAAAAAAAAGCCGGAAGTGGCACTGTGGCTTAGGTAGAGTGCTAGCCTTGAGCTGAAGAGCTGAGGGACAGTGCCCAGGCTCAGAGTACAGGCCCCACGACTGGACCCCCCCAAAAAAAACCCTCAAAAAAACAAACAAATACCTGGGGTAGGAGCACACTGTGGTAAGTATTTGAACACATAGTTGTGAGATGTACTGTATAAGCAAAGCCCAGTTTGGATTCAGTGAATATACTGAATATCTTTTCTCTGTCAGGCATTGCTCAAGTCACTGCTTTTCAGACAGGGGCTAGCAAACTATGGCCACTCATATTTCCATACTATTTTCACACTAAGCTGGGTTAAGGAATTAAGCAGAGATGTATGGATTTCTTTTTTGTTTTGGTTTTTGTTTTTGAGACAGGATCTTTTTTTAAAAATTTGCTTTATAAAGGTGATTTACAGAAGGATTACACTTACATGAATCAGGTAATGAGAACATTTCTTTCATGTAGTGTCATCTGTTCTCTCATTCTCTCCTAGTCCCTCCCTCCTGTCTCCACCCACAGTTGTATAGTTCACTTTTATCAATGTCCAGTGCACTCAACTGCTGCACTCTTTCACCCTTTTCCTCCAATTCTGTGCTCTTCTTTCACCCTCCTGAAGATACGCATGTGAATACATGTATATAAGGTAAAGAATACGGAATCATCAGAAAAAGAAAAAAAATTTTAAAGTCTTTTGTTTTCATATCTTAGGAGTTTGTTTCAGTATATATATTATTTTATATAAATATGAAGAGATGCTTAGGCATTGCAACTTTGTGATTCTCTCCTGAGACTATCTTCTTTTGGTCTCACTGTGTGTGAATATCTGTGTAATTTGTCATATCTCAGTGCATTTTAAATCTAACTTCCACATATCAGGGAGAACATGCACTGTTTGTCTCTCTGAGCTTGGCTTACCTCACTTAACGTGATTTGTTCTAGTTCCATCCATTTCTCTGCAAAGGGCATTTTTTATCCTTTCTAATGGCTGTGTAAAATTCCATTGTATATAGGTACCATATTTTTTTGATCCACTCATCTATTGTGGGGCATCTGGGCTGTTTCCATATCTTGGCAATTGTGAATAGAGTGGCAATGAATATGGACGAGCAGGTGTCCTTATATCCTGGCTCATGCTCTTTGGGGAAGATGCCTAGGGGTGGTATGGCTGGGTTGTAGGGAATGTCTGATTTTAGTTTTACAGAGTGGTTGTACTAGTTTACATTCCCACCCAGCAGTGCAGTTGGGTTCCTTTTTTCTTACATCCTTGCCAACAGTTGTTGTTGACCAACAAATGGGATGGAATCTCAGAATTGTTTTAATTTGCATTTCCTTTATGGCCAAGGATGATGAGCATTTCCTCAAAGGTTTTTAAAAAATATATATATATATTGCCATTCTTACCTCTTCTGAGAAGTCTCTCTTTAGCTCCTTTGTCCATTTATTGATTGGTTTATTAGGTTTGGGAGAGGTTAGTTTCTTGATCTCCTTGTATATATTGGATATTAGGTCTTTTGAGCAGGATCTTATATATAGCTTTGGCTGGCCTTAAACTCAGGACTTTTCTGCTGTAGCCTCCTGAGTGCTGGGCTATAGGCATGTATTAACATGCCTTGTTGAAACTTAAAAAAATTTTTTTTTATCATGAAAGTAATGTACAGAGGAGTTACAGTTACATAAGTCAGGTATTGAGTACATTTCTTTTTGAACAATTGTCAGCCCTTCCTTATTTTGTCCCAGTTTTTCCAACATAGTGTCTAGTATCACTGCTGAATTAGTTTGCCCTTTGTCCCACCATTTCTATGCTTCCCTTTCCCCTCCTCAAATCAGATAAATTACATACAGGACAAATATACAGAAATAAAAAGGGGAAAATACAGCGACAAAAGGGGAAAACAGAAAAAAGAAAGAATTGTAAAAAGTAACATAAAAAAGCCTCTTGTTTCCATTTCTTGGCGTTCATTTTGATTAGCATCATTTTATATGAACATAGCTACCTTGTGATCTTCTCCTAAGAATATCCTCCTTTGGTCTTGCTGTGTGAATGTTTAGAGTTCTGTTTAGTTTTTCATGTCCAAGTTTTTTTTTTTTTTCCTATCCATTGGGATTACTTATAGCTTTATAGGCACATTCTAGGTATTGCAAATGAGGGAAACCATGCAACCTATTTCCTTTGGGTCTGGTTTACTTCACTTAATATATATTTTTTCCAAGTCTTTCCATTTCTTTATGAGTGGGCAATGCCAGCCATTCTTGCTGATGGAAGCAGAGAATTCCTCATGTATATATGCCATATTTTTTTGATCCATTCATCTACTGAGGCATCTGTATTGATTCCATATCTTAGCTATGGTATATAATGCTGCGATGAAAATGGTTGTGCTAGTGGTTTTAGAGTGGCCTTGTTTGTGGTCAATTGGATAAAAGCCCAGGAGTGGGATTGCTGGGTCATAGGGTTGTTGCAACTCTCATTGGGGTGGGGGTGGTAGTAGTGGTGGTAATGGTGGTAATGGGCTTGAACTCAAAGCCTTCCACCTACCATTTGAGCACTTTATTATCTCATTTATGACTTTCAGTTATTTTTTGGATAAGATCTCATATTTTTGCTGGGCATTGGCCTTGGAATGTAGTCTTTCTTTGTAACTGGTGTCATGTGTGTTTACCACCATGCTTGTTGGTTAAGATCGCATCTTATTAACTTTTTGCCTTGGCTGGCCTAAAACTGTGATCCTTTGACTCTCCACCACTCCATTGTAACCTGAATTACAATGTTTGGGCCACTATGTTTAATCTATTGCTCAGTTGTTTAGAGCAAGCAAGTTTTCTAACTCCTGTCCTAGTTATATGACAGGATTCAATCTGTGGACCTTACAGTATGGTGAAAATATAGTGGCTGGCTAATAGAAGTCTTTTTATTCAATCCATATTTTGCAGTTCCTGGAGAAAGATTTGTGTAATGCAAACCTTATGAAACTTTTAGTGAAAATGCTGTGTGAGCCCTCAAGCATAGGTTTCAATATTGGTGATGTCCAGGTTATGGATAGTCTTCCCAGGATATGTGTGAACCTCATGAAAGCACTGAGGAAGTCCCCATACAGAGACATTTTCGAGACTCACCTGAAAGAACAAATGACAGCACAGAGGTGGGTACTTCAGTCCTCATTGTCAGTCACTGCGTGGTCAGATTTAATGACATACAGTGATCCTTGCAGCCATATGCGCCACTTGGGTACTTACTGTAGTCCCTTTGCCTTTAAGGAAGGCTCTCATCCATATTATGTTTGTTAAATGCCTTCCTTGCCCCAGGAAAACCTTGTCTAGTATTGTCTGCTTGTTTTCCAGGACTGTGCTAATGTATTTGAGTGTTAGGTAGTGAATTTATAACCACCCACCCATTTCTTCAGTGTGGTCAGTTAGTGGTGTTAGCTCTCATGTGATTTTCTGTTTTCCTTACTTGGCCAGTATTGAGGAGCTCTGTTCCATTGACTTATGTGGTCCTGATGCACACCTGGAGAGGACCAGGCTTATGTCCATAGTGTCAGCCTATAAACAACTTCACAAAGCTGGCTTCTTGCTTCTTATATTACCATCTCAGGTAATCAGAACCAACTTGTTTTTAATATATACATTTATTTCTTTGTCAAATCTTTCATTTATAAATTATGCTGAAATAGTATTTTCTCTAGACAGGTAGATATTATCTGGAATAGAAATATGAAAGTGCCAGGCGCCAGTGGCTCACGCCTATAATACTAGCTACTCAGGAGGCTGAGATCTGAGGATCATGGTTCAAAGCCAGCCCGGGCAGAAAAGTCCGTGAGACTCTTATCTTCAATAAACCACTAGAAAACCAGAAGTGGCGCTGTGGCTCAAGCAGTAGAGTGCTCTCCTTGAGCTGAAGAGCCCAGGGATAGTGCCCAAGCCAAGAGTTCAAGCCCCACGTCCAACAACAACAACAACAACAAAAAGAAACATGAAAATGAATATAAGATTAAAGTTAAATAAGGGGCAGTTAGTAATTTCTGGAAGACTTAGAGAAGCATCTGCCATCATGCCATTGTGTGGTGAGATGTTGAATGGCAGATGTGACCTGGAAAGCAGAATAGAATCAGAACTGTCCCAAGTATTGGAAGTGTTAGACATGAATTTTGGTGGGGGGGGGACTAGCGTAGTGTTGGGGATGGAATCCAGGGCCTTGCAGATGTTAGGCAAGCACTGTATCATCTAGATATATCCCTGGTTCTAACATGGACTTTTTAATTAATGAAAGGAATGAAATTAGGCTTTTTATTTTTTTTCTTGTCAGATACTTCATGTTGATTTTATTTTAGTCTACAGATGTTTGTCATAATGTTGGTACAAGACTTCTTTCCCTGGTTTATAAAGGCATTGCATCTGGCGAGGAAAGACGGTGCCTCCCATCACTGGACCCCAGCTGTGTACGTCTCGCCACTGGACTTCTGGAGCTGGCCTTCTGTTTTGGAGGACTGGTAGGAAAAACAACTTCATGCTGTGCTGTCCTAGTGAGGGGTGTGGGTAACTACTTGAGATATTGAGTAACTTACTCACTTGAAATATATCTCTACCTAATAAATCCTGCTTTTTCTAAAATGTGAGCTGGACAAGTAGTTGATTTATAATTGCTGACTTTCAGGGCTGGGAAGGTGGCTCAGTGGTAGAGTGCTTGCTTTGCATGCATGAGGCCCTGGGTTTGATTCCTCAGCACCACAGAAGCAGAAAAAGCCAGAAGTGGTGTTGTGGCTCAGGTGGTAGAGTGCTAGCATTGAGCTGAAGAGCTGAGGGACAGCGCCCAGGCCCAGAGTTCAGGCCCCATGACTGACAGACAGCAAAAATATAAAAATAAAAATAAATAAATTATTTAATTAATTAAAAAATTGCTGACTCTCTGTAAGATTTTCTTTATACTATAGTGTTTTTTTTTTATCCAAGACTAGCATTCGAACTTGATCTCTAATGCTTTACACTCCCTGGCAAGTATCCCTACCACCTGAGCCATACCTCTAACCTCATAACACTATTTTTTAAAATAAAAGAAATAGAACATTCTTAAATTGAGGTTTGTCGATCCAGCTTTGTTTTCAAAAGGATTTTAAACACAGAACATTGGGAACTAAAGCTGACCTATGCTAACATGTGGCTTCTTCCATTATCTTCGGTGGTTCTTGAGATGGGTGGTTTGATACGGTGCTGTAGAATAATTCCAGAGGCACTACAGCAAAACGTCCTCATAGTTCTTGAAACCACCTAGGGGTGCTCTCAGGTAGTCTGATGTAGCTTAGATCACTTTTCTCCACTCCATTCTCTCTTTTCCCTCTTTCCCATTGCAGGAGCCTCTTCTTTTTCCCATTGTCTATTTTGTGTAGACAAAATTATAACTTCTTACCCTTACTTTACTGGGCTCTCCCCTTTAGCAGCAGCAGGATTTTCTGGAAAATTGGAAGCAGTGTCATTTAAGGAAAAATTTCTTCCCCAAAATAAAACCTAGAAAATAGAAATTAATTGAAGTATGTATAGTTTAAACTTGAACCTGGATTTGACATATTGGAGTCCCTTTAGACTTACTGTGTGTTTGTCTTCTTTAACATGTGAAGATGGGTCCTTACAATGGTCTTATCTTCCTTTCCTCACAGTGTGAGCACCTTGTAAGTCTTCTCTTGAGTCCAGCAACATTGTCCACACTATCCTTGAGCAGCTCACAGAGAAGCATCACCAGCTTCTTCCATGGAGAGTATTTCTATAGCTTATTCTCAGAAACTATCAATGCTGAACTGTTGAAGAATCTTGATATTGCTGTGTCAGAGCTCATGAAATCATCAGTGCATAATCCCAAAATGGTAAGAAAATTCTTCTTTAAGTATTTTCTTATAATGCTCATAGAAGAATTACCATGTTTCTGAAGTATTTTCTTAAAACAAGGTGTCTTTATAAAACACTACAAGTTCTTGCTAATATTTGAAAACAAAGTAAACATATTGTACAAAACACATTATTTTTTCATTTTATATCCCCAAATCTCTGGGCTTAATATTATAAGGTTCAACCTTACGGAAAATTGACTTTCGCCCAGGTGTCCAGTTGTAGCTTTCAAACCTGGACTGTGGCCCAGAGCTATTCTTTCCAATAGCAGCTGCAAGCTGAACCTATACACTGTTAGACCTTTCTCTCTCTTGAAAGTGTCCCCGGTCTTAATGCCAACTCATCATTTCCTGTGTGATCTTGCTCTGGCCTTCTTGGTCCCCTCATGTTGACTCTTTGGAGAGCTACACTTAATACATGTTTGACTTGGGTTGTTAAACTTCTGGGATTTTGAAAATGTAATTTGTAGAGAGTCAAAAATGATAAACTGTTGCCATGAGTATTATAAATTAGAGTGTAATTTCTTACTAAGTTGAACTTTTATACCAAACAATGCTTAATCTGTAGTTGGAAATTCTTTTTCTTTTTGTAGTAGATTGCACTAGAACATAGTAGTTTTTGAAGTTACAAATAGATTTGTAGTAGAAATATGACTCATAGGACATTGAACATTTTTTTTTTTTTGGGTCCGATCGTGGGGCCGAACTCTGGGCCTGGGCACTGTCCCTCAGCTCTTCAGCTCAAGGCTAGCACTCTACCACTTGAGCCACAGCGCCACTTCCGGCTTTTTTCTTTTTGCTTATGTGGTGCTGAGGAATCAAACCCAGGACCTCGGGATGCAAGGCAAGCGCTCTACCTTCCCAGCCCAGGACATTGAACATTTTGAGCTTTCAAGTTATTCAGATTTCTGATGAAAATGATGGGTAAAATCATATTTATATACCCCTGTTCCTTCCCCACATTCCTCTAAAATTATAGAGTAGAGTTAAAACAAACTAAAAACATACCAGTAGCATAATGTTAAAGAATGTAAAGAAAAGATTTCCAGAATGAAAAGCAACAAAGAAAAAGCACAGGTATGGCAGACTCAAAATATTTAGTCTTCTAGCTGCAACAGCAGCCAGCAGCATGGTGAGCAGGGTTTGGTGGAGAAGCTGAAGAGAGACCCTGAAACAAGGACAGTCCCTCAGTACATGGGCAGTGTTTCCCACTTCAGGTGGAGGTGTTCACTAGTTAAAAGCCTACCTAGATTTCAGACCTATGGATTATTGTCAGCCAGTTCTTTTCCTTCTGCAGGACATCAGAACAGTTAGAGAGGCTCAAGAGAAATCTTTATTGACCAAGTGTTCTTATAGCCTGTAGTCCTGCTTCTGCATGGCACTTCCAAAACAGTTTTTTTTTATTGTGAAAATACCGTACAGAGGGGTTACAATTACATGGGCAAGATAATGAGTACATTTCTTATCAAGCATTATTGCCTCCTCCTTTGTTTCCCCTTTCTATCCCTTCCCATCTCCCACCCCCCTCCCCCACCCCCCTCCCTCTCCCCCCACCCCCTCCCGGCCAGAGTTGTAAAGTTTGTTTTTCTACATAATGACTTGTACATATCATTGTTGCAATGGGTCCACCACGTGAATCCCTATTTAAACGATTTCTTTTTGCCCTTCTCTCCACAAATTATACCAACATCAAATGCAGTGAAAGCAGGGGTTATACCGTGGGGGAGGAACATACAAAGCAACAAAGAAATCATCTTATATGTTAGAAACAATCATATGAAAGAAAAAACATTTGAATACATATCTTGGGGTTCATTCCCCTAATATCAACTTATCTGACCTTTTCTGCTCATCTCAGACATATATACTAGTTATTGCAAATAAGGGAAACCATGGGACCTATGTTTCTTTTTTTTTTTAAGTTTTTAATAAAATTGTTACTGTAAAGGTGATGTACAGAGGGGTTACAGTTACATAATTCAGAAAGAGTACATTTCTTTTTAGACAATGTCACCCCTTCCATTACTCTCTCCCAAATGAGTTCTTCAATTTGAACCAACATCCAGAAATGCCAGGCTGGAGCAGAGGGCTACCAAAAATAATGAAATAAGAAGTGTTGCTAAGAAAGAACATCTCTAGAATCGAGCATAGGTATCAGAAATTAGAAGTGAAATGGATTTGGGAAGTAAAATTGAAGAAGTCATAACAGTGACTAGTGGGAGAAGACAAACCAACATAGGAGAGAAATAATGATCTACCAAAGTTCCATAGAGCTGAGCAGCAAGATAGAAGCTCCAGAGGAAAGAGGCTGAGAAAGGCTTCCTGTGACAGATCAGGAGTACTGAAGTAATGAAAGCCCCAAGTTCCCTGATATAAAAGGGCTGTGGAGAAAACTCAACATGGAGCATACTCCCTAGGGGTTAAGAATCCTGGGGTTTCACTATGAGAAAAACTGAAGAAAAACCAGTTCTATGTAAAAGGATCATGAAATTGAATAACATTTGTCTTCTCAACAGAAGTGTGGATGATGCAGAAGTATGAGCCAAAATTCCTTCATAATTCACACAAGAAATTTCCCTTAAGTTTTAAGTGCAGCTAGATAATATGTAAGAGTAGGATGTACAGGTTTCAAACATGCCTGACCTAAAAGGAGATGTGTCTCTTGTGTATTTCTCTTTGGTCAGGAGCCTTGAAAGAGGAAGTTGCTGATGTGAAAAGTCAGCCTTATATTGAGGAAGGGGCAGGTCTCAAGCCTGGTACCTCCTAGCAAGGCACAAACTTTACTCACTAGGAGCAGGTAGACTCCCTAATTGGTTCAGCTAGGTTGAGGCCATCTGATTTGGAAAAGTTTAATGGCAGATTAAGGATAGATGCTGAAAACAGCAAAGAAAACATGTGAGGATTAGCTTTAAGGGTAGAAAAATGTGCTATGTGGAACTTTTATTATTTTCCAGGTGCATCCCCTAACTAAAACTTCTCTTTATCATGTACCACTTGATAGCTGGGGGAAAAATGGGAGTGTTAGTGGGTCACAGTTTACAAATAAAGTACTGTTGGTGTGGGAGTTGTCATGAGGCTGTGTTGAAGTGACTTAACCATGAGATATTGGGCATCCATGGAAATGGGTTTGTTCAGCCATTTACATTAATGAGCATTTAAATGCAACAGATACCATTTCAGGTGACTTAACATGAATGAATAAAAGTCAATGCTAGAGTATTGGGGTTTTCTTTTTTATATTCCCTTGACAAGTGCTATTTGTGCCATTAAACTTCTGTAGTAAAGAAAAAAAAATGGGCTGGGAAGGTGGCTCAATGGTAGAGCGCTTGCCTTGCATGCATGAGGCCCTGGGTTCGATTCCTCAGCACCACATAAACAGAAAAAAAAAGCCGGAAGTGGTGCTATGGCTCAAGTGGTAGCGTGCTAGCCTTGAGCTGAAGAGCTGAGACCCATAGTTCAGGCTCCATGACTGGACCTCCTCCCCCCCCAGAAAAAGAAAAATGTGCTAGAAATAGTGTTAGTAGTATGGGGCATCTATGATAAATGTTCATGTCATCGTAATAGTAATATTGAATGTTAAAGCAAACTTAGATTGTCACTGTATTGGGAGGTGGTGGTGGGATGGGAGCTGTGTGTGTGAATGTACTGTTGTGGAAGTGGCCACAAAAGGGAGCTCAGTCCCCTTCTAGGTGGAGTTCTATCAACAATGTCCCTACTAAGAGCCCATGAGTGGCGTGATGGCACACTGACATGAATGAAGCCACATGTGTTAGAATACTCATTTTAGATCAAAAGCTTTGAAATAGAGAAACAGAAGAAAAAGCATATTCACTTTCCAAGAATAGCTTTGAAATTAAAGTAAGCTTTGTATTTATCTTAGTATTAAGAATTTTTTTCTTCAAACGCTGCAAATTTATTTCAGGTGAGTGCTGTTTTAAATGGTATGTTAGATCAGAGCTTCAGGGATCGAGCTATTCAGAAACACCAGGGACTGAAGCTTGCAACTACAATTCTGCAAAACTGGAGAACGTTTGATTCATGGTGGGCCGGGGATTCTGCTCCAGAAAGCAAAATGGCAGTGCTGACGTTACTGGCAAAAATTTTACAGGTATTTTGTAAAGTCTAAAACATTCATTCATGTTCAGGGTTTTTGTTTATTGTCCTTTTTTTCCACTTTCAATTATTCTTATTGGCAGACTAGGGTACAAATTATTGGTGTTTATACATCCATGTTTGCTAACAATTCATTTCCAAATATTGCTAAATTTTAGAATTATACTTTACAATAATTGGTAGCTAATTTCCTTTAACTATTTTTCTTTCTAGCATTCCTACTAATTAGAAACATTAAAACAGACCTGAATTAAAAATATTTTTTATTATTATAAAGGTGATATGCAGAGGGGTTTCATTAGTCAGGTAATAAGTACATTTCTTTTTCATAGTGATGCCTGGTTCCTTCTTTTCTACCAGATTTTCACCTCCCACCCCGCCTTCTCCACAAGTTGTATGGTTCATTTTTTTAACATAGTGTCTACTGAGTACTACTGCTGCATTTGTTTATCCTTTGTCCCTCCATTTCTGTGACCCTCTCTTACCCTCCCAAAGACAGATTAATGAACAAACAAGACAAAAAGAAAAGAAAATCAAAGCTGGGAGTCAGTGGCTCATGCCTGTAATCCTAGCTACTCAGGAGGCTGAGATCTGAGGATCATGGTTCATTCAGAGCCAGCCCAGGCAAGGAAGTCTGTGAGACTCTTTGTTTTTTTTTTGGTCCAGTCATGGGGCCTGAACTCTGTGCCTGGGCGCTGTCCCTCAGCTCTTCAGCTCAAGGCTAGCGCTCTACCACTTGAGCCACAGTGCCACTTCCGGCTTTTTTCTTTTTGCTTATGTGGTGCTGGGGAATCGAACCCAGGGCCTCAGGCATGCAAGGCAAGCGCTCTACCACTGAGCCACCTTCCCAGCCCCAGTCTGTGAGACTCTTATCTTCAGTAAACCACTAGAAAACCGTAAGTGGTGCTGTGGCTCAAGTGGTAGAGCACTAGCCCTGAGCTGAAGAGCTGGGGGACAGCACCAAGGCCCATAGTTCAACAACCGACCAGAAAAAAGAAAGAATACTACTAAGAGAAAAACCTCTTGTTTCCATTTCCTGGAGTTCATTTTGATAAATATTATTTTACGTGTTCAGAGGCACAGAAACATTTACACCTTTGTGTTCTTCCCCTAAGAGGTCTGTTGGGTAGCAAAATTGCAATTATCCTACCTCAGCTTCCTTATAGTGTGTATGCCACTGTGGCAGGCATGTTCATTGCTTTTTTTTTCTTTTCTTTGTGTTGGTACTGGGCCTTGAACTCAGGGCCTAGGTGAAGTCCCATAGCTTTTGCTCAGGGCTGGCATTTTACCACTTGAGCCAGAGCTCCACTTCTGATTTATTGGTGCTTAATTGGAGCTAAGTATCTCATGCACCATCCTACTCCAGCTGGCTTCTGAGATCCTCAGATCTCAGCCTCCTGTTAGGTTTAAGGGCATGAGCCACTGGCTGCCCGACTTATGAAGTCTGAAATGTGTATTTTTAAAAGTGCTGGAAGTTGCCTTTAAAGTTGCTGAAAGTTCTGTCCCTCCCTTCCTCCCAAACAAATTTGAGCAAGTCTGAAATTTTAGCATATCTATTTTCATGCCTTCAATCAACCAACCACATTCATTTTCATTCACCTCCCACTCCCCAATAGAGCATGTTTTCTTTCTTTCCTTCCCCACTCACCCACCAACTGATCAGCAGCTTCTTTATGCTGTTTTTATATATAATTGTTATGTATTTCAAAATTACTTTATTTTTCCAGTTTCCTTCTTCTAAATAGGCCTTTCAATTAAATTCATGTTCTATATATGTCCATAATAATGTGTACAGGCATATACATAAATCCGTATCAATGAATAGATGTATTTTTAAACTTCTACATGTGGGTAAAAACATGATATCTGGCTTTTTAAAGCTTATAGGTTTTGATAAAGATGATATTTTGAGGAGATGATCTCTAATTACCATACAGTTTTTACTTTTCATTTTTTACAGTTATCTGTTATGCTCATTTTATCCTTTCTACTGCAATTTTATATGCTGTGTATTAGCAATTAATATTAAATATTAAAATATTTTAGAACAAGATTTTAAAAAGTATTCGAAGCCCTAGAATGAATACACAATTAATTCCTAAATGGTAAACACTTGGAAAATGTATTAAAGAGAATAGAGGCCCAATACAAAAAATGTGTTGTTTTTATTTCTCCTCTAGATCGATTCATCTGTGTCTTTTAATACAAATCACAGCTTATTTCCTGAAGTCTTTGCAACATACACTAGTATACTTTCTGATTCAAACTTGGATCTACACTTAAAGGTAAATGATGTTAAACTACTTTTTTTCAGATTACATTCTCATTTACTTTTACATCTTCATATTTTTGTTTTGTCATGTTTTTCATGAGAGGAGAATTTCAATTATGCAAAGATAAGAGAGATTAGCACAATAACCCTCCCCACCCCACCCTGGTGCCATCTGTCAAGTTAGCATGGCCATAAGTGCAAGCCTGAATTTAGCATTCTTAGAATAATTTACATTTAGCCAGGCGCTAGTGGCTCGCACCTAGAATCCTAGCTACTCAGGAAGCTGAGATCTGAGGATTGCAGTTCAAAGACAGCCTGGGCAAGAAAGTTCGAGAGCCTCTAATCGCCAATAAACCACCAGAAAACCAGAAGTGATGCTGTGGTTCAAGTGGTAGAGTGCTAGTTTTGAGCTGAAGAACTCAGAGATGGAACCCAGGCCCAGAGTTCAAGCCAATAACAACAACAACAACAATAATAATAATTTACATTTATCTTTTCAAAGACATGAGTTAAATTGCTTCTAGACTTACTATACTAACTTTTTCTATTATAATTAATATAAAGTCTCTTGGTAACTTTTTAAATAAGTTTTTTTAGTGTGAAAATACTGTACAGAGGGGTTACAATTACATGAGCAAACTAATAAGTACATTTCTTATCAAGCATCTTGGTAAATTTTTTTCAGCCAAGAATATAATAAATATTGTAACTTTAATATTAATTTAAACTTTCTAAATGAGGTTGTAGTAAAACATACCTTTTTTACTGGATAGGAGGGATAATTTTTTGGAACTTTCTGTTTGCTTGCTTGATGAACTTTTCTGATATATGAGAATGTCTTGGAATTTATTTGCTATTCAAGAAAGATAGGGCCAGGCGCTGGTGGCTCACACCTGTAATCCTAGCTACTCAGGAGGCTGAGATCTGAAAATCACTCTTCAAAGCCAGCCAAGCAGCAAAGTCTGTGACACTCTTATCTCTAATAAACCCACCAGAAAACCAGAAGTGGTGCTGTGGGTCAAGTGGTAGAGCATTCGCCTTGAGCTGAAGAGCTGAATGGTAGTGCCTAGGCCCCAGAGTTCATGCCCCACAACCGACAAAAAAAAAAAAAAAGAAGGAATGGACACTTTATTCTTCTTAAGCACAGTATGAATATCTGAAGTAATTCTGCAAACAGGTATCTTTCCACACAGAACATGTGCCATGCATTTCTATTAGGGGTTTTGTTTGTAGAGCAAGAACATATAAACAGAGTTAGTTATAATGTCCTATGTTTGTTTCTTTTCTTCTTTTTTTTGTTGGTCATGGGGCTTGAACTCTGGGCCTGAGCGCTGTCCCTCAGCTCTTCAGCTCAAGGCTAGTGCTCTACCACTTGAACTACAGTACCACTTCTGGTTTTCTGGTGGTTTATTGGAGATAAGAGTCTCACGGACTTTCCTGCCCAGGCTGGCTTTGAACTGAGATCCTTAGAACTCAGCCTCCTGAGTAGCTAGGATTACAGGCGTGAGCCACCAGTGCCCGGTGTCTGTGATTTTTCTGAGTCAGTCCATTGATCTGTAGAATTGAAGCTGAGACACATAGTTGCATTCAGATTGGTTTTTACTTTTACCTTACTTTTTGTTTTTACTTTCAATTATTTGTAAGTTGTTGTACACAGGGATTTTAACTTGACATGTCAGTTTATGAGTACATTGCATGTTGATCAGGCCATCCCTCTTATCATTCTTGATTTTTAATATAATCTAAAATGTGTAGTGAAGTCATTTGTGGACTCCATATAACGGTTAATTAGCAGTCCTCAGAATATAGTAATTTTATTTATTCCATGGGATCTGTAAGCTACAGTTATTATGATTTCACTTGTCTTCATTGCTCACAGGGTCAAGCTGTAATTCTTCTTCCATTCTTCACCAACATGACTGGCAGCAGTCTGGAAGACCTAAAGCATGTTATCGAGAAGCTCATTGTTTCCAATTTCCCTATGAAATCTGATGAATTTCCTCCAGGAACTCTGAAGTACAACAGTTATGTGGACTGCATAAAAATGGTTAGCTTTCAGATGTATCAAAGTTAAATATAGACTGACTTTTGTTGCATTTCTTTTTAAAATTTTATTTTTTAACTTGCACTTAGAAACAAAATTTATATACATTAATGGATACCATATAATGTTTAGATACCTACATATACATTGTATAGTGTTTTAATCAAGCTAAATATATCTGTTTCCTTAAGTAGTTACGATTTCTTCTTAGTGAAAACTTTGAATTATCTATAATTACTTTACTGTTCAGTAGAGTACCAGACTTCTTACTCCACCCAATTGTAGCTTAGTACTCACTGATCAAACTCTCCCCATCCCCATGTTTCCCAGCTTCTAGTAACCAGTTCTCTGAACTTTTAGTGAGATAAACTTTTTTTTTTTATTGGTCATGGGGCTTGAACTCTGGGACTTGGCACTGTCCCTCAGCTTTTCAGCTCAAGGTGAGCACTTTACCACTTGAGTCACAGAGCCACTTCCAGTTTTCTGGTGGTTTATTGGAGATAAGCGTCTCATGGACTTTCCTGCCTGGGCTGGCTTTGAACTGTGATCCTCAGATCTCATTCTGCTGAGTAGCTAGGATTACAGGCTTTGTCACCAGTGCCTGGCCTGAGATAAACTTTTTAACATGATATATATGAGTGAGATCATATACTACCTGTCTCTCTGAGCCTGCTTTATTTTACTTTCCAGAATGATCCCCAACTTCATCCTTGTGACCATAGATGACAGAATGCCAGCCTTTATAAGGCTAAAGAGGAGTCCATTATGTATTATTTATGCATCAGCTAATAGGCATTTAAGTTATTTCCATTTTTTACCTATTGTGAATAGTTCTTTGACATATGATTTCATTTCCATTGGAGATTTATACATAAATTACACATGTATGTGTGCATATGTGTACATGTTTGTATGTACATATACGGAATGGAGTTGTATTTTGTTTTTAGTTTTTTGAGAACTTTCTGTACTGCTTGTAATAGTGATTACTGATTTATATTCCTATCAAGAATATTTAAAGATTATCTTTTCTCCAAAGTCTCACCAGCATTTGATAGCTTTAACTTTTTTAAAATAGCTTATTGGGTGGAAGCAATACCTTATTGCAGTTTTTTTGATTTTTATTTCTTTGATGATTAGTGATATTAAGTACTTTTTTGTGTACTTGTTGGGCATTTATATATCTTTTGTGTATATGTGTGTGTGTGTTGGTATTAGCATTTGAACTCAGGGCCTGTGTGCTATCTCTTAGCTCTCTCGTTTAGGCTTATGGTCCTCAGATTTCAGCTTTCTGAGTAGCTAGGATTATAGGGGTGAGCAACTGGTGTCTGGCTTGTATGCTGTTTTTTGAGAAAAGTCTTTCTAGAGCTATTACCCAATGTAAATATTTGTTTTTTTTGTGTATGTTTTACAATGAGTCTTTGTGGTTTCACATATATGTATCAGATGTATAGTTTTTCAAATACTTTCTCTTATTCTGTATGCTATTTTTTTTACTGTGCAGAAAAGCTTTTCAGTTTGATGGAATGTCATTTGTCTATTTTTTCTTTGGTTCTTATGGTTTTGGGGTTTTCTTCAAAATGTTCTCAGCAATGCCAATGTTCTGAAGCTCTCTGTCACTGTTTTCTTTTATAAGACCTATAGCTTTTATCTTTTTATAAGACCTTATATTAAACCTTTAATCCATGTGAACTGATTTTTATAACTGGTAAGAGATGGGACGTAGTTTCCTTTTCGTGTATGTGGGTATTCAGTTTCCCAGCTTCATCTGTTAAGAAAAAAAAAACACTATCCTACTTCATAAAAGTGAATATTTTTTAAAAATGTTTTTCTCTAGTTTGCATTCTTCCCTTTCCTTTTCCCCTCTCTGTCCTTCCTACCTCCTTTTTTTTGTGCTGGTTCTGGGACGTGAACTCCGGGCCTGGGCACTGTCCCTCAGCTTTTTTTGCTGAAGGCTAGCATTCTACCATGTGAGCCACAGTTCTACTTCTGGCTTTTTGGTAGATAGTTGGAGATAAGAGACTCACAGACTTTCCTGCCAGAGTTGGCATTGAAAGGTGATCCTCAATTGAGCCACAGCCCCCAGTTCTTTTTTACTTTAGTTACTTTAGACCATGTTCTTCTTACCTAGTTTTTTTTTTTTTTTTTTTTTGCATAGATAGGTGTGTACCACCATACTTGGCTTGTTTGTTGATTCTCATCAATCTTTTTTCTCAGCAGGTCTCAAACCTTGACCCTCCTGATCTTTTTATTCCTATTAGCTGGGATTACAGGTGTATGCCACCATATCTGTCTTAAAAAAATAAATGAATAAAAGGTGGGTGGGTGCTGGTAGCTTATGCCTGTAATCCTAGCTACTCAGGAAGCTAAGTTCTGAGTATTGAGGTTTGGAGTCAGCCTGGGCAGGAAAGTCCATGACACTCTTCTCTCTAACACTAAAAATTTAGAAGTGGAGCAGTGGTTCAAATGGTAGAGCAGTAGCCTTGAGCAAAAATATGACAACACTGAGGTCCTGAGTTCAAGCCCTAGGAGACACAAAACAATCAAACTTGTCTCTTTATTGTATTTCCTTAACATGGAAAGTTAGGTTTAAAGCTTGACCGTGAGATTCAGGTAGATCTTCTTGGCAAAGTAGTACAGTAGGAGGCAGTCTTTTCAGGTTGCCATGTAGAGTGACCTCAAGTCTGTTTATATTACATTAGATATTTTTTTTCCCTAGTAATGTTACCTAATGTTTTTATCAGCCACCAAGAGTCTAAGTAGATCCTTAGTACTTTATTTTAAAGTAAATGCCAGAGTATAAATATATCTGCAAATAACTACTGAATATTTGAAGTGTCTAATGTAAGAAATATACAAACTAAGGGCATAGCTGCATGTGCCCAGAGGCTAGCAGAACAGGATAACTGGAGCCCAAGAAGAGTTCAAGGACAACCTGGGAAAAGTTCAACCTATCCTGGAAAAAACAATTACAATCAGGTTACTTTGGGATAAGAATATAGCTCCGTAGTGGAGTTCCTGACTAGCAGGTGTCAGCCCTTGAGTCCATTCCCAGTGCTTCCCTGCATGCCAGGGACAGGGCAGAGAACGGTCAGTGAGGCAAGGAGGATAGTCAGAGAAGCTGCAGAGTAGCTTCAGACATGAAGGAAGCATTGGTTCCATGAAGGGAGACAAATAAGATCTGTAGGAATTAAATATATAAAAACAAAGTTTAACTTAAAACTGTCCTGTTCAGTTCTGAAGTTAAAATTGAGGATGTCTGCTAGAGCAAACAGATGAGACAGAATAGGAGAGTTAAGGAGGAATAAACTGGAGAAACAGCCTGGAGAGACAATAGAACATACATCTTTAGTTAGATGACCAGCACCTGACAAGGAAGACACTTTGTCATGGAATTCCAGCGGGAACACATTTGCAAAATCCAGACTCAAATATTTAATGAATATTACATGCTATCCATTCATGACTGATACAGGAGTGACACAAATAATAGCATTTTTAAAATTGCGTGTGTAATTAGAGCTATTAAAAGCTGCTCGTAATTGTTTAAAATCGCATGTAAAGGGCTGGGAAGGTGGCTCAGTGGTAGAGCGCTTGCCTTGCATGCTTGAGGCCTTGGGTTCGATTCCTCAGCACCACATAAGCAGAAAAAAAAAAGCCGGAAGTGGCACTGAGGCTCAAATGGTAGAGTGCTAGCCTTGAGCTGAAGAGCTGAGGGACAGCGCCCAGGCCGAGTTCAGGCCTCATGACCAGACCCAAAAAAAAATTGCATGTAAAATTAGAGCTGTTAAAACCAAATTGCTGTGGGCAGTGTAGAACATTGTCCTAGCAAGTATAAGGCCTTTTGAAACCCCAGACCTGCCAAAAAATAAAAAAATAAATAAAAGACAGCCAAATAAAAATAAAACCAAACAAAAATTTGATGATTGATATACTTTTACATTTTTTAGTTTTTAGATGCATTGGAATTATCTCAAAGTCCAGTTTTGTTACAATTGATGACAGAAATTCTTTGTCGGGAACAGAAACATGTTATGGAAGAATTATTTCAAACCACTTTCAAAAAGATTGCCAGGAGGTAAGTCTTTCTAGTCTGGAATCCCAGAAGTCAGACAGGATGTATGTTAGATCTGGGAGGATTATCTTGTCTCTTTCAAGGAAAGTTGAGAGGCAATTTAGCAAACTCTGGGTGTTGTTTTTGGTGCTGCTTTTATTTTATTTTTCTTCAAAACAAACTTTTATTTTGAAACCTTGCAAACATTCTTAAAGCTAAAATGATGAGTATAAATGAGATTTCAGATGGAAAAAAAATCAGCATTGTTCCAGCTTTGTTCCACTCATTTTTTTTCTTTTGTTGTTGTTATTGTGTTCTAAAACAGATGTCTGGGGCCTTTTTATTTCATTTCAAAAAATTTTCTCCATGTCTTAAAAATGCTGTTTCCTAGCCAGGTAGAGTAGCTCCATTCCCATCATCCCTGCTTCTTGAAGATAGAAGGATCATAGATTGAAGACATCCTAGGGAAAAAAAAATGTTAACAAGATCCTCTCTCAATGAACAAGCCTAGGGTAGTGGTGCATACCTGTGATCCTAGCTATAAAGGAGGCAGAGATAGGAGGATTGAGGTCTGAGGTCAGTCCTAGGCAAAAGCATAAGATCCTATATAGAAGAATAACTAAAAGCATAAAAGGCTAGTGGTATGGCTCAGTAGTAGTTTCAGAGGTGAAACCTAGTACTGCCAAAAAAACAAAATACAAAAAATATTACTTTCTATAGAGGAATTTTTAACTTCAAAGGCAGAAAGAAACCACAAAAAAAAGCAGACCAACATCTCTCATGAATCTACATTCACAAAAGTCTTTAGAAGTACATTAACAAGCCAAATCCAGTATATGTAACAAAGATAATGTGCTAAGCCAGGGGCCTGTGGTTCATGGTAGTAATCCTCTCTACTCAGGATTCTGTAATCTAAGGAACAGGATTCAAAGCCTGTTTGAGAAGGAAACTCCTCTTAATTATCCAGCAAACAGCCAAAAGTGGTGAAAAGCTAGGGACAGAACTCAGGCTCTGAGTTTAAGCCCTTACTAAACTACTTCCAAAGAGCCCGAAGTGGAGCTGTGGCTCAAGTGGTAGAATACCAGCTTTGAGCAAAAATGCTCAGGGATATCACCTAGACCTTGAGTTCAAGCCCAGGCCCCCCCCCCCCCACACACACACGCGCACACGCGCACGCACGCACGCACGCATGCACGTACACACACACGAGATTTATCCTAGGGATAAATCTGGAACTCAATTTGTAGTGTTTTAAAGCATATTGATTGAATAAAGAATTAGGGGCTGGAGATATGGCTCAAGTGGTAGGTAGAGTGCTTGCCTATCAAACACAATGCCTTGGGTTCACACCCCAGTACCACTTAAAAAAAGGAAGAAAATGAAATACATTTTAATAAATCCTTAAAAAATCAATTGTTATTATAAAGGTGATACACAGAGGGTGTTACAGTTGCATAAGTCAGGTATTGAGTACATTTCTTTCTGGGACAGTGTCGCCCTTCCCTGGTTTTCTCCCAGTTTTTCTCTCCCACCTCCCGCCCACAAGTTGTATAGTTCATTTTCAACATAGTGTCCAGTACTATTGCTACATTTTCACCCTAAACAAAATCTAATACTAATGGATGACAAAGCTGACAGAGGTTATTACACAGTAAAGAAAGATTTCAGAGTGAAAAACGGAATGCTTTCCTTCTGAGGCTGAGGACCAGGTTGTATGTGCTATCTGCTGATTTTCAGCGTGGTAAGTTGGAGCTATTATATTAGGACAAAAAAAAAAAAGACAAGGAAAAAAAGCCAACCAGGTGTTTTACTAGGAAGTTTTGTTCATATTCTATTTTGTCCTCATTGCTTTTTTCCACCTATGAGGTCTTGAACTTCTTTTCTTTTTATTTCAAGTTTAACATTATAGAGTTTAAAATTTAACTTATTTTCTTAATTTAGTTTCTTTACCCTATGGATAAGTTTTTTTTTTTTACATATTGTTGTTTTCAGTAACACTATTGTTACATAGTTGCTATATTGTTTAATTACATAAATACTTTAAAAATAACATTACCAGTAATAAGAATACTGACAACTAAGTGGGGTGCCAGTGTTCATACCTCGCTACTCAGGGGCCTGAGATCTGAGGATTGCAGTTAGAAGCCAGTCTCGGCCAGAAAAATCCTGAGACTCTTACCGCCAATGAACTACTCAGAAAAAGCTGGAAATGGCGCTGTGGCTCAAGGGGCAGAGCATTAGCCTTGAAGCAAAAAGAGGCTCAAGTACAGAAGCAGGCCCTGAGATTTAAGCCCAGGACTGGCAAAAAAAAAAATAAAATAAAGGGGCTGGGAAGGTGGCTCAGTGGTAGAGTGCTTGCCTTGCATGCATGAGGCCCTGGGTTCGATTCCTTAGCACCACATAAGCAAACAGAAAAAAGCCAGAAGTGGTGCTGTGGCTCAAGTTGTAGAGCGCTAGCCTTGAGCTGAAGAGCTGAGGGACAGTGCCCAGGCCCAGAGTTCAGGCCCCATGACCGGACCCCCCCCCCAAAAAAAAACAAAACAAAAGAAAAAAAATAAAGAGACTGACAGCTAATTGAAATTAAAAATTTTTGAGTAATAATTGGCAAGTATATCAAGTCAAATCATCTTAAACCTTATGATACAGCTTTATCAGTGTGTAGTGGTTATATTAGTTAGGAATGCTTCTTTAATTTTCAAATTTTAGAATTATTTTTTTAATATATATTTTTATTATAAAGATACTGTACAGAGGGGCTGGGAAGGTGGCTCAGTGGAAGAGTGTTTGCCTTGCATGCATGAGGCCCTGGGTTCGATTCCTCAGTACCACAGAAGCAGAAAAAGCCAGAAGTGGCGCTGTGGCTCAAGTGGTAGAGCTCTAGCCTTGAGCTGGAGAACTCAGGGACAGCGTCCAGGCGCAGAGTTCAGGCCCCATGACCAACCAAAAGAAAAAAAAGAAAGAAAAAAAAGATACTATATAGAGGGGTTGCAGTTACATGAGTAAGGTAATGAGTACATTTCCTGTCGAGCATTGTTACCCCTTCCTTTGATTTCCCCCTATCATCGAATTATTTCTTTAGTTACTGTTATCTTTTTTTTTTTTTTT